TTTTATGTGTATGAGTGTATTGCCTGCATGTATGTGAGTGCACCTGTGTCGTGCAATGCCACAGAGTTCAGAAGAGGGCTTCAGGTGGTGAGACCCAAGTCCTCTTAACCACTGAGCCGGCTCTCCAGCCCCTGGAAATACTTCTTTTACCTGCCCTTCCACATCTAGACCATCCTGCCCACCACATGGTTCTCCTCCCACCTGCCTGGGCTTGTCCCTGCCTCAGAAATGTGGCCCATCTGTGCCTGAAACAAAGCAGCAGGAACAGGCAAACAGCCCATCATCCCTTGACCTCGACTTGGATGCTTCCCGTTGTCCAGGAGGGCCTGTCATTCCTAGTGCTAAGGATCACCCATGAGCAATTTCAGGAGGCCAGCCCACGTGTGCACCCATCACCTGAGTATCCGCATCTCTTTCCTTGAACCCACACTCTGAAGCTGACACCCTATCTAGCCTCCAGTCTTCAGGTCCCAGTGCTGGTTAATACCAGCAGCCAGGCTGGGGTTCAAGGAGGTTGCATTTGTAGGTGATGGGCCCCAGGCCCCACCTACTGTCTCCCCCAGCCTCAGTTTCCCCACCTGTGTAATGAAGGGCAGCAATCCCTCACTCGGGGGTGTCGGGTCCCTGAGAGACAGTTCAAGAGGCAGCCACCAAATCACAAGTCACAGGCCCTGTGCTGCTGCTGGCTGGTGGTGGTATGGGGACAATTCCCTCCCTGAGCCTCTGGTCCTGACCCAAAGATGTGAGACCAAGCACTGCTGGGCTAGACCCCCACCTGGGCACCCACCTCCTTCCAGATGTTGTAGTGGCTGAGGAAGCAGCCCAGCTCACCCTTGGTGAGTGGCCGTCCATGGTAGGGGTCCCTGTACCCTGGCAGCATCTGGATGCCAAGGGCGTCCACCTGGCTGCTGTTCATGGCTCTGTAGGGGCATAAGGGAAGAGGAGGGAGAGGATGGAAGGGGGGATGGGGAGGAGGAGAGAGAGGAGGGTGAATAAAAAGGAGAAGAGGGAGAGGAAGTGGGGAGGAAGAAGAGGAGAAGGAAGAAGCAGAGAATAGGAAGGAGGGAGAGGAGGGGGGAGGCGAGGAAGGGGTTGGCAGAAGTCACTCTAGCTCTGCTGAGCAATCTCAGTCCTCCCAGGAGTGGCACCCACCCAGTGGGGCACTGAGCCTGCTGCGTGGCCCGGCCTTCTGCAGGGAGGAGACTTGCTTCCTGCTTCTTGCCCTAAGAATCATTCCTAGCAACAGTCTACTCTGAGGCTTTCCCTCCCTGGGGTCAGTTCCTCCCTTGCATACTCCAAATCTACACACATACAAACGTGGGCAACACACACACACACACACACACACACACACACACACACACACACACACACACACACACACGCGCACACATGGTCATATGCACACACCACACACTCGAACTCCCACTTGCACACGCACACACTCACTCCAAAAACACACACTGTTCCCCAGGACGCACTTGCCATCCACAGCGTCCACCAGGCGACACTCAATCTCCTGCTCGTGCAGCGCCCGCAGCATACGTTCACGTCGGTCTCGCCTGCGCCGCAGGTTGATCATGAAGACCTGCAGCAGAGGCTGAGTGAGACCCGGTTCGCACCCACCACCCTCCACCCCGGGACCCAACGCACCTCGTCAAAGCCCATCTTGTCTGCAGTCTTACTGGGTGCCGAAATAAAGCGAGACAGCTGCACTGGTGGATGCTTCACTGAGGGGTGAAAAGTGGGGATCAATGGAGTTCATGGGACCTCCCAGGTGATCAGGACTTTTCTAACACCCCTCCCCACCCTTCCCAGATGCGTGTGACCAGCAGGGCCCCTGCTCAAGCACCATGCCCAGATTGCACCCTGCTGCAGCTTGCAGTACCTGCACCCAAGTCCCCAAGTCGCCCCTTTTCAACCCCAGGATGCTGGCCCATGGTGGTCCTCTAGCCCAGAACGCCTCATCTGACATCTAGCTGTGATGCCCTGGGGGCAAACACAGAGCCTCCAAGCCTCTGATTGCCACCCCCCAGTCTCAAGGCTCAACCACCAAGACCCCCCCATCCCTCCCTCCTACTTCCCAAACCCAGGTACCTATCACAAACACCTTAGGGAGTACAAGGGGTCTGTCCACTCATATTGTACTCCCGGTGCCCAGCACAGAGTTTGGTACACAGCAGGTGCTCAATAGCTACATGTAGAACAAAGGAATGGCCCCAGCAGTGTGCCTGTGTGATCCTGACCAATCCAGCCTCAGCTCTCCTCCTCCAGAACCACAGACACTGCACAGAAACACACTGAGAACTCACATGAGCATCAAGGCTTCAACTGCACCCTCAAAGGCTACATGTGTGCGCTGACCCTCAGGAACTCCAAGTGATGTCACTCTGAAGCATGGTCAGTCTTCTGAGCCATGGTCTCAAGCTGTAGCCCAGACTGCCCCACGGCTCACTGCCCTCCATCCTCAGCCTCTTCAGTACGAGGCATGTGCCCTACACACTGGCTCAAGTTTTTACCGGCCATATGGAGCTGCCTCTCAAGGCCCAGGGTACAGGTGATGCCTCCCACAGCTGCAGCCAGGGCAGGGGGTGGGGTGGGACCCACAAGGCTGCAGATGCCATGCAAGGAGATCTCCCAAGACTGTGTAGAGGGCCAGGGAGCACATGCAGTTCCAATCTTGGCCACCAGGGGCACAACAGACAGGAAATTTTAATAACAGTCTACTTAGTGAATGACCTTGTGGGGTTCTGTGGGAGCTGTCTGATGTAGGCCGAGGCTCAGACTAGGAATAACCAGGCTGAGGGTGCCACCTAGAACCCCAAAGGCTGTTTGGTCCGGGTGTGCATATGTCTCAGGGGCCAGCTACAAGACTGCTGACCACTGAATATAGGACTGACTCATTGACTGACTGACTGACTTCGTGGGGCTGAGGATGGAACCCTGGACCTTGTGTGTGCTCTCCCTAGCAGCATTCCCAAGCTAAAAGATCTAACTGCATTTCTTAGGATCTGGACTCTACACCCTGCACAGGAGAAGTTTAATATAAATATTAAATAATGTAGTACTGGGAACACAGGGAAGGGCATATGAATTTGGTCAGTGCCTTCTGTGGTTCCTGACTGCCCTTGGGGACCATTCAGCTGGTCCCTGCTGCCCCTGTGGCCACCCCACCTGTACACTTGGACCTCGTGAACATAATCTGAAGCCTGAGCTCAGGACCCCTCCATGAGCATAATCTGAAGCCTGAGCTCAGGACCCCTCCAGTCTCCCGCCTCTGTACATGCTCATCCACTGGTAACACTCCCAAGTGTGGTGAACTCCTATCCACCCTGCACCACACCAAACCCTCCACAGTCGCTGTGCCGAGTTACAGGCACACAGGTCCCCTGTACTCACACCCTCTGACACAGGGAGACTCACCCATGACCTCCAGCTGCACATGCATGAAGCTCTCCGCCTCGTCCTGCAGGGAGCTATGCGAGCGCAGCGGCACGGGCAGGAAGCCATACAGCTCCTTATTGCACACGAACATCTGCACCTCTGCAAGTGGGGACAGGGCAAGTCAGGCGCCACCTGGGCAAGTCTGAGCCAGCCTGGGATACAAGAAGCGATGTCTCAAATAATTATTATTCTCCACCGCAATTCTGGGCCACTTAAAAAAATATAAAGGTGGGGCTGGAGAGATGGCCCAGTAGTTAAGAACACTGACTGTTCTTGCAGAAGTCCCAGGTTCAAATCCCAGCACCCACACGACAGCTAACAACTGTCTGTAACTCCAGTTCCAGGGGATCCAACAGCCTCTTCTGTCCTTTGAGGGAATTGCATGACACAGGTGCACTTACCTACATGCAGGCATAACACTCATACACTTTTGTCTTTCTGAGGATGGTTTTAGTTTTCCTTTATTCCTCAAATAGGGTTTTCTGGATGTAGCACTCAGTAAATAGATCAGTCCTTAAAAAATGTTCTTCTGCTGGGTGTAGTGGCACATGCTTTTAATCCTAGCACTTGAGAGGCAGAGGTAGGCAGGTCTCTGTGAGTTCGAGGCCAGCCTGGTCTACATAGCGAGTTCCAGGTCAACTGGGGCTGTAGGGAGACCCTGTCTCAAAAAAAGACTAAAAAAAAAATTATATATATAAAAAAAGCTAGGTCTGGGGCTGGAGAGATGGCTCAGCAGTTAAGAACAGTGGTTGTTCTTGCAGAAGACCCAAGTTCGAATCCAGCACCCACATGGCAGATAACAACTATCTGTATCTCCAGTTCCAGGGGATCCAGCAGCCTCCTCTGACCTCCGCCAGCATTGCATGACACGGGTGCACTTACCCACATGCAGGCAATACACTCATACACATGAAATAAAAAAAAGCTAGGTGTGGGGGTACATGCTCAGTCCCAGCACTCAGGAGGTGGATCTCTGTGAGTTTGAGGCCAGCCTGGTCTACATAGGGAACTCCAGGCCAGCTAAAGTGTGGGGGCAACAGGGAGGTCCTGTCTGTAAAATAAAATAAAATAAAATACAAGCAGCCCTCTTGCCCCTGATTTCGGTTTTCCCTTTTGGGTCTCACTTTCTGCGGTTTTAGTCAACTGCAGTCTGAGAACATTAAATGGGACGTTTCAGGGCCAGTGAGATGGCTCAGCAGGTAATGTTGCTTGTCTCCAAACTTGATGACTTGAGTTCAATCCCTGGGACCCACATGGTGGAAGAAGAGAGTTGGTCCTACAAGTAGTCCTCTGACCTCCACACCACACACACACACACACACACACACACACACACACACACACACACACTCACATAAATGCACAAAAATTGTGAGAAGATGGGAAAATATCAAGATGGAAATAATACCCACATACAGGTCTTTATGTTGTTGAGACAGGATCTCACTGTGTAGCCCAGGCTGACCTCAAATTTACGATCCTGCCGCAGTCTCCCAATTCCCAGGATCACAGGCTGGCACCACCACACCTGACAGTCAACAGGTCTTAAGGAGCTGGGGGTGGAGCCAATCAAGGCGGCTGGGTGCAGAGAGGTGCTGACTCTTAGGACAGTAGCTGTGCCTGAAGGCCATCTTCTCCCCAAGTTCTGGCCCTTTGAATGGCCTGTGTCCATTTGGACTTGCTCAGTGTGGAACCCACACATCGTCGGCACCTGGCTGCGCTCACCTGCCTGCTTGCAGGAGAAGGCGAAGACGATGATGTCATCGAAGGACCAGGTGTAGTCCGGGTGCGGTGGGTAGAAGGCCAGGTTTCTGGATGCAGACTTGCGCAGGTCAATGAGGAAGGTGGAGTGTACCATGGGAACCGGAAAGCAGCCCCTGCGGTCACGCTTGCGGATGGGGATGTAGGCAGGCGTGCGCTTGTAGTAGCCCTGTGCACAAGGGTTAGATGTGGGCCGGCACCCAAGAGCAGGGTGCAGTGGTGCCGGCCATGGCCCCAGAGCCACATGGTCTCACTAGGTAGCCCAGGGTAGCCTGGCTCATGGAACTCCTGCCTCAGCTTCCCAAGTACTGAGATGACAGGCCCTACACTCCAGAGTCCAGGACTTGCTATGCATTCTTGAGACCCCTGACACCCAGTCCCCAGCTCCTGTCCACTCCCCTGGCTTTACCCACCACCCCAGATTCAAACCTAGGAGAGGGGCTTGGAACCAGGCCTGGTCAATCAGGCATTGGTTCAGGGATAAGGGGGGACCTGCTGGAGCACACGCATCAGGGCATGCCTGAAGGCCCTCCTAGGTACGGTCATTTCCTAACTGTAGATGTGTGAGTTTGGGCAAGCCACTCCCCTCTCTAATGAAGGGGACCCCACCCCTGCTCCTTGGCTGGAGGTCACCTGCAAGTGCCGGTCAATGACTTGGCCCACCCCGCCGAAGTCCCCATCGTACCTGAGAAGTCATCCCACACCAGAAATTGGAGTAAGCTGCTCGGGAGTCCAACATCGGGGCCACCACGGTCTTGTTCTCTGCGATGAGCAGGCTCAGCACGTCAGGGTTGGTGATGAGGTTGTCACTGTCCACAAACTGCAAAAGATTCACATGCTGCAGCTTGGCTGGGCCCAGGTGGAGGCACGGGGGCCCAGAGATTCAACACCCTCAGTCCTCTCCCAACACCTCTGCCCTGAAAAGTGGGGTGTTGGGGGACTGGGGACGTGGGTCAGAGGTAAAGGTTTGCAGTTGAAACATGAGGACCTGAGCAGCACCCGCATAAAGAGCTGTGGTGTGGCATGTCTGGAAGCTCATCACTGGGGAGAGGACCCTGGGGCTCACTGGCCAGCAGGCATAGTCAGATCAGTGAGACACAGTCTCAAAAAATAAAGTGCAGGATCGGGCATGGTGGTAACACACCCTTAATCCCAGTACTTAGGCAGAGGCAGGCAGATCTTACAGAGATGGAGGGTCTACATGGCGAGTTCGAGGTTTGCTGGGGCTACTGGGAGACCCTTCTCAAAAAGACAGATAGATAGATGATAGATAAATAGAGAGACAGATAAAGTGAAGAGGCTGGCTGATCTTGAAGAGGACCCAAGTTTGGGTCCCAGCACCCATGTGACACCTACAACTGTCCATAACTCCAGTTCCAGGGGATCAACACCCTCTTCTGGCCTCTGTGGGCATTGCACAACACAGGTGCACTTACATGCAGGCAATACATTCATACACATGAAATAAAAACAAATAAGTAGGGGCTGGAGAGATGGCTCAGTGGTTAAGAACACTGGTTGTTCTTGCAGAAGACCCGGGTTTGAATCCCAGCGCCCACATGACAGCTAACAACTGTCCCAGGGGATCCCACATGGCAGCTAACTTCAGTCCCAGGGAATCCGACAGCCTCTTCTGTCCTCTGCAGGCATTGCAGGACATGGGTGCACTTACCTACACGCAGGCAATACACATAAAATTTAAAAAATAAAATTTTTTTTTAAGTGTTAAAAAAAGAATAAAAAACAAGTTGGAGAATGACTGAGGAAGATGCCTGACTTGGCTTCTGGGTAGCACAGACACGTACACATGCACGTTCACACACAGCAAGCACACACAGGCACGAGGGGTGCGTCACACTCTTGAAGAGATACTCCAGGCAGCAGGAAGGACGGGCGCACAGTTGGCTACTCTGATTGGGGCTCAGGGCACAAGGCAGCCCCAGTGGGGTTATTCCGTGGTGAGTGGCCAGTGACTACAAGGGCCTCTAGGGAAGCAGAGTTTCCTGCATATGGAGCTGGCCCTGGGGGGATGTTGTGATTTTTTTTTTTTTTTTGGACAGGGTCTCATGTAGCCCAGGCTGGCCTTAAAATCCTTATGTAGAAAAGGATGGCCCTGAACTCCTGATCTTTGTCTTAGCCTCCCAAGTGCTGGGATGACAAGTGTGTAACACCACACCCAGCATGTCAGAGGGTAGATTTTAAAAAATGGTAACTGGGGATTGGGGAACAGCTCAGCGGGTAAGAGCACTTGTTATTTAAGTATGAGGCCCTGAGTTCAAATCCCCAACACCCACATAAAAAGCTGGGTGTGACCCAGTACTTGTGACCCCTGAGCTGTTGTAGTGGCGACAGGAGGATGTCCGTGGCTCACTGGCTGCCAGTTCAGTTACAACTTCAGTGAGAGACCCTGTCTCAAAGGAGTAACATACACGGCAGATAAATAAATAAACACAAGTAAAACCTGGCAACACTGGCCCTTATAGGGCATGGCTGGTTCCCAGGCCTTGTGCCCATTCCAGTGCCACTAGCTAGCTCACTATTCATATGCAAATGTTCCCAAACCCAAACCCTCTCTGCCTGGCATTTCAGCCTGGGCCAGGAAGCTGACTGTATCCTCAGATCCCGATTCTGTTACTAGTGATGTATTTTCAGAACACTGGGATCAACTGTGGGCTGCCTCCTGGGAGCCAAGCATGGGACTCCCTCACTGGGGACTGAGACAGCTGCTTTTGGGAACAGGAGCCATGGGTCATGTTGGCAAACTTGGTGGCAAGCCCCTTTACCTGATGAGTCATCTTGTCAGCCCATCCACCAGTGTGGTAACAGTGTAGTTCTTCTGGCTCTGTCACTCAGGGTCATGTTTTCCAGGTTCACCAACTTTATCTCATGAATTGGTGTTCCATTCCTTTTTATAACTGGGTAATATTCCAGTATGGCTAGACCCTGCTGGGTTCATGAGCTGACAGGCATTTGTGTATTTCCACCTTTGAGGTCTTGTGACCTGTGCCACTGTGAGCATGTGCATGAGGTGTTTGAACTGACTTTCCATTCTTCCTAAGGGGTCATCCCCAAGGCTGGTAATGTTAGCATATCTCTCTGTTTAACTTTTGGGGGGACCACCAGGCTGACCTGGCTGACACAACTGCACTTACATTCCACAGAGGACACTGGAGTGACAGGAGCCAGAAGAAAGGGCCCCACGATGTGTGGTCCCAAGACAATAACCATCCAGAACAGGCCAGTCCATAGAGACAGAAAGCATTTCAGGGACTACCAGGGTCTAGGGGAGGGATGGAGACTGCTGACAGGGAATGGGGCTCCTTTGGGAGGTGGTGGAATGTTCTGGAATAAGAGGTGACCATCATACAACATAATAGATATGCTAAATGCCCTGGAATTGGATTGCACACTCTGAAATGGTTAATTTTATGTTAGGTAAATTGTACCCCAATTAAGTTGAATAGCTAGCTACAAAGTGGCTCTGACCAGACAAACTGGGCTTTTCCCTTTCTTCCCTAAGCTTATTTAAATTACACTTCCCCTGCAATAACATCCATAGCTTCTGTAGAATGGGGAAAAATAAAGAGACTGTTTTAGTAATAATTCTTGGAACACCAGAGAAGCAATTTCATATTCTACTATGTAATGTCCTGTGACACCAAAATCATAATGTCCTCAGAGAATCTGCTTTGAGCTCTCTGTCATCCCGGTGAGCTCCTCCCAGTTTGCTAAGGAGAAGAGCCAACCTCAAGCCACAAAAGCAAAAACCAAGGAAAGAAAGAGAACATGGTAGTTCTGTTCCAGGAGGCTATGGAAGGTTCGGGAATGTATCAGATCCACCACTGTGCAGGTCTGTTCTGTTCTGAGACCCTCACCCATACCTGACAGCTGTCTTCTTTCTCATCTGTAAAATGGGATGATAAAGGCTCCAGCCCAAAGTGCTGCTGAGGAGCTGGGCCCACTTTTCCCATCTAGGAGTCACTTGGTCCTCCCCATAGGGCTCGGGCCAGTCCAGGCCCACAGCATCCTGACCTCACCTGCCCTTCTCCATATAAACCACATTGCTAACTTACTGGTGGGTGGTCTGACAAGATGGCTCATCAGGTAAAGGGGCTTGCCACCAAGACTGCCAACCTGAGTTTAATCCTCAGGTCCCCACATGGTGGAAGGACAGAATCAACTCTTCCAAGTTTTCCTTTGACTTCTACAAGGATGTCATGACCCATGCACACTCCCCATATATACATACATACATACATACATACATACATACATACACATACATATATACATAAATGTAATGGAGAAAAAAAACTCCAGGTGCTGTCCCAATTTCTTCTGGCCTCTGCTGGCATTTCACAACCTGGTGCACTTACTACACACACAGAGACACACATACACATATTTGAAAATCTTAGCTGGATGTGGCAGCACATGCTTTTAATCCCAGTACTTGGGAGGCAGAGGCAGGCAGATCTCTGTGAGTTCGGGGCCAGCCTGGTCTACATGGTGAGCTCCAGGTAGCTGGGGCTACAGGGAGACCCTGTCTCAATTTTTTTTTTTTGAGACGGGCTCCTTGTAGCCCCAGCTGGCTTGGAACTCACCATGTAGACTAGGCTGGCCTCGATCTCACAGAGATTCGCCTGTCTCTGCCTCCCAAGTGCTGAACTAAGGATGTGCGCTACCACACCTGGCTGAAAAAAATTTTTAAAAAAAGAAATTAATTGGGGCCGGAAAGATGGCAAAGCTGTTAAGAACACTGGTTGTTCTTACAGAAGACCCAGGGGATCCAACAGCCTCTTCTGACCTCTGTGGGCATTGTACGACACAAGTGCACTTACCTACATGCAGGCAATACAGGAATACACATAAAATAAAAATAATAAATAGCTGGGCGTAGTGGCGCATGCCTTTACTCCCAACACTCGGGAGGCAGAGGCAGGCAGATCTCTGTGAGTTCAAGGCCAGCCTGGTCTACATAGTGAGTTCCAGGACAGCTGGGGCTACAAGGAGACAGGGAGACCCTGTCTCAAAAAGACCAAAATAAATAAATTAATTAGTTAAATAAATAAATAAAATTTAAAAAAAAAAACAGTTCTAAAAAAAAAAAGGAAAGAAACTAATCTTTTCCCCAGTGTGGTGGCACACGCCTTTAGTCCCTGTACTTGGGAGGCAGAGGAGGCTGATCTCTGTGAGTCTGAGGCCAGCCTGGTCTACATAGTGAGTTCTAGGATAGCTGAGGCTACAGGGAGACCCTGTCTCAAAAAAAAAAAAAAGAAGAAACTAATCTTTAAAGATTCATTTTATTTGTGTGTGTGTGTGTGTGTGTGTGTGTGTGTGTCTCTGTGTAATGGCTGTGGAGGCCAGAGAAATCAGATCCCCTGGAACTGGAGTTACAGAGGGTTGTTAGCTGCCATGTGGGTGCTAGGGACTGAACCTGGATCCTCTGCAAGAGCAGCAAGTCCTCTTAACCATGAGCCATCTTTCCAGCCCATCATATTTTTTGAGGCAGTCTTGTTCTGTAGCGTAGGCTGGCCTGCATTTCACTGCTCTCCTGCCTTAGTCCTTGGAGAGCTGGGCTATCTCACATTGCAGTCCATCCTCAACTATTCCCTCAGAGGACACTGTGGGTCAGGGAAGAGGAACTGGAAGTCTGGCCTCAGCATCTGGGTGTCAGCACATCCACTCAGCCTGTGACCTCCACCCTTGCTGCTAGGATGTGGCCAAAGGATATCCTGGTACAGAGTATGACATCACCAATGAGATGACTCAGCAGGTGCTGATGGCCTGAGCTCAGTCTCTAGGAACCACATGGTAGAAGGTGAAAACTAATTCTCATAAGCTGTCCTATGATCTCCACATGTGCGCTGCCCTCAAAAAACAAATAACGGGCTGGAGAGATGGCTCAGCAGTTAAGAGCACTGACTGCTCTTGCAGAGGACCCGGGTTCAATACCCAGCACCCACATGATGGCTATGAACCGTCCATAACTCCAGTTCCAGGGGAATCCGACGCCCTCTTCTGACCTCCACAGCATTGCACAACACGGGTGCACTCACATACATGCAGGCGATACACCTCCAGTTCCAGGGGAATCCGACGCCCTCTTCTGACCTCCACAGCATTGCACAACACGGGTGCACTCACATACATGCAGGCGATACACTCATACACAGAAAATAAAAATAAAATAATAAAAAAAGACAAAACAAACCACAAACAAGTTCTACTAAGGCAGGATCCCAGGTAGCCCAGGCTGATTCGCCATGTAGTTGAAGATGACTTTGAACTCTTCATCCTCTTCCACCTCCCCAGTGTAGAGGTGATAGGTGTGTACCACCACACCTAATTTGTGTGGTGCTGGGGATGCAACCCAGGGCTTCATGCATACTAGGCAAGCACGCTACCAACTAAGCTACGAGCACTCAACCAACTGAACTACAGCTATGGCCCCACCCTTTCCTTTTTGATCCTCAGTTTACCCTTTTGCAAATGGTGTTATCAGAGACTTGGGTCTTTGCCCATCTCATTCTCCCTCAGGACACTGTAGCCTCCCAGTCTCAGAAACTCACCAGTATGTAATCAGCCCACATGTCTCGAGCTGACTTCAGGGCCGCCTGGCGCAACTTCATAACATGCTCGTATCGAGAGTCAGACCAGTGTTTGGGACCCTCCTCGTCTGAGTAGGAGCTGTAAGGAGTGGGGCTGTGATGTTGAGAACATAGCACACTGTAGCCCCATGGGTCTCATGGCTGCCAACCAGAGAGGGAGAGAAAAGAGCACAGGGCAGAGGGTCCTGAGCACATGCAAAGGTCCAGAGACAGAAAGCTAGAGGCCAGGTGAGGGCCCAGAGGAAAGCTCAGCCACAGCACAGCTGCCATCCCAGGGGTTGTCTGAGCCAGCAGTACATGGCAGTGCAGGGAGGCTGATACAGGATGATGGCAAGAGTTTGAGGTCAGCCTGGGCTACAGAGTAAGACTGAACAGGGGAGGGGATGACAGCAGGGCCCTGAGCCAGAGAACACAGTAGTAGGTGGCCACTAGACACACAAAGGGCCGAAGGCATTCCACATGGAGGTGTGGCAGGAATCTGTGTTCAAGGCTGGACAAAGTAGTGAGGGTGGTGGGGACAAAGGTCTGGCTGGAGGATCAGGATCTGCTGAGGGCGGAGTGGCAAGATAGGCTGGGGTCAGGGACAGGGTCTGGACACGGTGACAGGGAGCCATGGCTGATGCAAACATGCTTAAGCAGGTTGGGATGCTGTGGACAGGCTGCGGCTCACCTGGGTTCCTCTGCTGGCCGCCACTCGACAGAGTGGTATAAACCCTTCACCGCCACCAGCCACTCACGTAGGATGGCTGAAGTGTTGTCTGTGTTGTGATCTGTGGCCACCCTGTGGGCACAAAGGATGGTCAGAGCAGCAGGATGCACCTAGGGCTTCCTATTCAGGCTCAGCATTCCCCCTCCTCCCAGCTATGACACCTTGTGCCTCAGTTTCTCCATCTGTAACAAGGCAGTAAGGACAGCAGCCAGCTCATTGGAACACAAGGTGAATGGGACTTGCTAATTTGGAAAAAATTGGTGTGAGTTCCAGATGGGTACAGGCTGCCCAGGGAGACCCTGTCTTAAGAAAAAATACATACAAGGGAGCTAAGTCGGGAACTTAAAGTCCCCAGCTTGGGCCTTCTTCGTGGCTGTTGTCCCCTTGTGTGAAGGGTCCATGTCCCCTTAGAGCCTTCTGGTCCCTTACCCCATGCCAGCTGAGTCTGGCCCACCCTGGAACCTATGTTCTGGGTTGGGGCAGTATCTTTCTGTTGGCTTGGCAGGGGCCTGGAACGCTTGACCCCAAGGTGCTGGCCCCACAATGGGTGCGCTGAGGGTCTGGACATGCCAGTCTGGCCCATTCTGAGAGTGCTTAGGTCGTGGGGATGCAGCTCATCTGATGAAGAAACAACTTATATGTGGGTCTGGGAGGACAGCAGCTCCAGGTCCCCACACCCCTCTGGGAACAGCAGCCCGTGTTCCCCGGAGGATCACAGACCCAGGGTGCATAACTGGGTCTCACGGGGTGGAAACTCTGGGGTGGACGATCGGGTTCCCTGGGTGACCAATCTGGTCCTCTTGTGCCCATTCCGGTCTCTGGGTGCACTCTCTAGTTCCCTGTACCAGCTTTAGTCCCCATTTGCCCACTCTGGCCAGCAGTGCCCGCTCTGGTTCTGGGTAACCGCTCAGGTGCCTGGGTGCACTCTCTGGCCCTCTGTACAGGTTCTGGTCTCCCTTTGCTGGTTCTGGTCTTCCGTGTTCACTCTGGTTCCCAAGCGCACTCTCTGGTGCCCTGTGCCTGCTCGGGTTTCCAAGGTGCGCTCCGTGGTACCCTGAGCCTACTCTGGTCCCTTGTGCACGCTATGGTCCCCGGGTGCACTCTCTGGTCTCCTGTGCCCGCTCTGGCCCCGGAGAGTTTCCCGCTCACCACAGTGCCGTGCGCTCCCGCGGGTGCCGCAACCTCTCCAGGGCGCCCAGCGTGGCGGGCAGCGCGGGCGCTGCGTTCCGGGCCAACAGCGCGATGAGCACACGCGGCGCCTGCAGCGGGGACTCGGGACTCCAGCGCTCCTCGGGGAAGTATCCGTCTGCGCCGTGAGGGCCGCCCAGTAGCAGCAGCAGCAGCAGCGGCCGCGGCAGTGGCAGCACCAGGAGTCCGCGCCGCCGGCCCCCGGGCAACGCCGCCATTGCTCCACGCGTCACCTTTAAGTCACTTTTCGGCCGGCAGACGTGGGCCGCGCCTTAAAGGCGACGGGATTTAAAGAAAAAGAAAAAAGGAGGTCTTCCATCCGGGTCCCGCCCCTGACGCGCCTTAACGGGGAGGAGAGCTCTGGGTCAGCACCGAACTAGCGGTACCTTCCGCCCAAACTGCTCCTTTAAGAACACCACTTTCCCTCCGACAGCAACAGGTCCTCACCTCTTGAAGACACTGGCAGGGCGGCCCAGGAAGCCCCGCCCCCACTCGTCTTAAAGGCACACAGCCAATTTTTTCGCCTCGCCCTTGAAGTCTGTCTCTTTTGTCTGAGGTCCAAATGTTCCACGGACACAGAATGTTGTCGGCCTCAGTTTCCTAGGTTACAATATTGTTATTTCCGTTTGTTCTGAATTACATTTTAAGGGGCCCGCTAGATGGCTACAGTTGGTAAAGGTGATTGCTGACATGCATAAAGTCCAAGTTCGAGCCCCAGGTCCCACAATTGTGTTGCCCTCCGACTTCCACAGCGCATACACACGAGATAAATAAACAAATGTAATTTTTAAAACATTTAAAGAAAAATATTACATTTTAAAATTTGTTTTTGTGTGTGGAGCTCTGGAGGTCAAAGTACAACTTGGAGTAGTCTGGTCCCTGACCACCATGGGGACGTCCGACTTGGGGAAAGCACCTTTACTCACTGAGTAGTCAAACCAGCCCCGTTTTTACTGGGTGGTTTGTAGTTGTTGTTACTAGGCAGGCCGAGGCTGGTCTCAAACCTACTATGTAGCCCACACTATCTGTGAACTCGCAGAATCCTCCTGCCTCACACTCCGAGGGCTGGCACCACCAGGCCGGGGTTCAGCACGTCCTTAAGAGGATGTCCTCAAACTTGCCTTCAGACTAGACCCCTGTAAAATAACATCATAGAGTTGGTGGGAAGTTGAAGCCAGACATAATTTGTCCAGCAGATTCTCTAGAGGCAGGGCCAACGTCTCCCACACCCTAGTGTTGAATAGTCTAATATATTAAATTTAGGGGGGATTTTTGTTGTGTTTTGTTTTGAGATAGGGTCTCCCCACAGCCCCAAGCAGGCCTGGAACTTGTTATGTAGACCAGGCTGGACTGGATCTCACCTGCATCTGCCTCCTAAGTGCTGGGATTAAAGCCACCACCCCTGGCCTCTAAATATTAACTTTTTACCAGAATGATGGCCACTCAGGCAGTGGAGGATGGAGGCAGAAGGGCCACAAGTTCAAGGCCATCCTCAGCTATATGTCCAGTTTCAGGACAGCCTGGGCTACATGAGTCTCTGTCTAAAAATACATACATACATACATACATACATACATACATACATACAAACTTTCAGCCTGGTATGGAAGGAAGTATACACCTAAAATCCCAATATTTGGGAGCTGAGGCAGGAGGATCCCTTGGAGTTGGAGGCCAGCCTTTGATACACATCCAGACCCCTTATCAAATAAACAAGCATAGTATTCCTCTAAGACATGTTTGGATAGTTCTGGGAAAATCTATACTAGCTCTGAATGTCTGCCTGAGGAGGAAGGAGGCTCCCTTGGTGAATGTTGGGGCATATGGGTGTCAGTTGGGGGGCACGTTTGAAATTTTTGCATAATAAAAAGATGAAGTTTACACTCTGATTTCATGAGCTTCCACATTAAGGAATTAAAACAAGATGGGGCATCCCACCCCATCTGGCTGAATTAACTTGGTTCTCAGAGTAGGGAATGGGGCAGGGGGACAGCTGCTTGTTTCCAGAATTAGCCTGGGAAAATGGCCCTAGCAGGCTGACAAGTGCACAAAAAAGGTTTTAACTTAATCTCCTGATGCTGATCCCTGCCAGAGCCTGAGGAACGCAGAAGAAATCCCCGTGATCAGCCCAGAAGCAGCTGTGGAGGCAAAAGCCCAGGAGAAGCTGCCTCAGCACTGGCTGGGAGCCCTGGACAGGAAGCCTGGGGTGGGAGTGGGGGTGGGGTGGGGGTCTCAGCTGAGGGTCTACACTGTATGTGCAGGGTCTTAGCATTTTAAATCTCAATTAGGTGATAAAATCGGTTAGAAATTAAAACAATAATAAAAATAAAAATGAGAGCCAGTGAGATGGCTCAGTGGGTAAAGGCGCTTACTGGCATGCCTGACAGCCTTAGTTTGATTCCTGGGACCAACAAGATGGAAGGTGAGAACTGACTCCCAAAAGTTGTCCTCTGGTCCTTCACATACACTGTGACACTGCACACGTAGGCAGTAAAATGAATGTAATAAAAGTTTTAAATGTGTGCACATTTTTAAAAGTAAAAATGATAAATAATTATGTGTATGAGTGTACTGCCTGCATGTGTACAAGTGCACCCCTGTTGTGCAGTGGTTGGGGTCAGAAGAGGGTGTTGGGTTCCCTGGACCTGGAGTTATGGACAGCTGTAAGCCACCGTGTGGGTGCTGGAATCAAACCCAGTTCCTCTGCAAGAGCTAACAGCTGAGTCATCTCTCTAGTCCGGTTTTTTGAAGCAGTCTTACTATGGTAGCCCAGGCTGGCTCAGAACTAGAGACCGTCCTGCCTCAGCCTCCCAAGAAATGGAGTTTTTCTTTACTTTTATTTATTATTTTTATTTTTTTAATGTGTATGTGTGTATTGCCTGCATGTAGGTAAGTGCATCCATGTCATGCAATGCCCGCGGAGGTCAGAAGAGGCTGTCGGATTCCCTGGAACTGGAGTTACGGACAGTTGTTAGCTGCCATGTGGGTGTTGGGATTCGAACCTGGGTCTTCTGCAAGAACAACTGGTGTTCTTAACCGCTGAGCCATCTCTCCAGCCCGTTTTCTTTTTGGACGCAAAGCTTACTGTCTGTTAAGGTTTGTAGGAAATGCACAAATTCAGGTAAGAATATTAAATTGATACACTTTCTTAATCATACAGCCTTACAAAAACAGAAACACTTCACTCTGGAAGGGCACCCTCTAGATCTTTATCCGGTGCCCAGGAGAACGGGTGTGGTTGAAGACTTCTGAAATGTTCTTGGAAGTGCTGTGGTTGAAGGGCTGCCTTGGCTGGCTGGAGTGTCTCTCTCAGATCTGAGCTTCAGTTTTCCAGTCTGTGAAGTGGGGATTGGGAGCATGTCACCCAGGTATCTAGGAATAGAGTGGGGCACAGAATACGAGCTGAAGTGTGGACACAGGGAGGTGGACAGGCTCTCTAAGGCACTGAGAGAACTCAGGAAGCTGCGCCAGGGCCTGTCACTTGCACTCCCTTAAGGATGTGCAAGATCTCTAGAGAGTCTCCACGCCCTGAGATTTTCATGGAGGTTCACCTTGGACTTGCACATACGTGAAAGTGATGGACCATGGGGGATGAAGGGACAGATGTTCAAGTTCCTTCTACATAAATATGGGTCTGTGTGGGGGTCTCCCTAATACTTTTTTGCTATTTATGTGACTTCATATGAATACATAGCTATGTATGGAAATTGATTTAGTTTTGCTGGTACTCACCAGTGTGGACGTGTCCAGGTCAGCTCTGGCTGTGTAACAAGTGAGCCCAATGCATGCATGTCAGAGCCCATGGCTCAGATGCACTCTCTGGCTTCTTTTCCACTTGCTTACCATAACCTTAACTAGCCTGGCCAGTTGGGAAAAATTCCACCCTGTTCTGTCCACAGCACCACCCTCAACACACTCCTTTACACCCTATAGGGCCCCGAAACCTGTGGGGTTTTTACCAGCTCCTTCCTGGTCCCACAGAGCCCAAGAAGTCAGCCATAGTGCAGGCTCTGTCACTGGCACCAAGGGCCTCTTTCAGTTCTGGAACAAGAAATAAATGCCCAGACTCATCAGGGAAAGCCAGGTGTCAGCCCCCAAGGAGACTCTTTCCATGCTGTACGCATGCAGACACTGCTAGTCAATCTCTGCACTCCACAGGGCCAGGAGACTGCCAGTCTGGGCTCCTGGCCCTGCTGCTCTGTGCAGGCATAACAAATCAATCACAGGCAGACTCCCTTAAGGATGTGCAAGATCTCTAGAGCCAGAAGCTCATCAAGGTGACCTGTTTCTGAATTTAGTTTGCAGCCATTTAAACTCCTTTTCTTCTGGGTGTAGTGGCTCAGATCTGTGATTGGGAGGCTGAGGCAGGAGGACTGCCTGGATGGCAGGCCTGTGTAAGCACCTCAGCTCCATTTTTCTTGTTTGGCCCCCACACCAAGGAAACAGGTCCACCCCTACTCCCTGGCTGCGACAGCCCACGTCTAAACTGCCTGCATTGACCTCTGTGCCTCTTCCCTTTGTCCTTTTCAATGTGCTCTGAGAGCCCAGGGGCTCCTGAGGGACCTAGCTCAACTCTACGGAGCTCCTGAGGGACCTAGCTCAACTCTGAGGGGCTCCTGAGGACCTAGCTCAACTCTAAGAGGCTCCTGAGGGACCTAGCTCAACTCTAAGGGGCTCCTGAGGGACCTAGCTCAACTCTAAGGAGTTTCAGTCAGGGAGTAATTGCTGAATGAATACATATTTGTTGGTATCTGCCTCCCTCACCTTGCTGAAAACTGCTACACAACCCACAGAACTTTGTTTCAAAAGCACTTCAGGGGACTCCACCACCGACCACCCAGGACCCATCCATCTCAGTTCTGGTCTTAAGTCAAGGGGCTAGTGTCCACAGGAAGTGAGAGGGACTGAACCAGGGGAGAGCACACCCCTCTGAGCCACAGCAGGTGGCTTACCTCTGTCAATCTTCTGCAGCAGGAAGTCCTTGATGACATCCCCATAGATGCCCTCACTGGTCAGGACAGGGCAGCCCAGGGCCAGGAGGTCCCCATCCATTTCAGGTTGTTCCTGGAACACATGGTTAGGGAAGGGCTTCCTTCAGCCCCAGCCCTGGCCTGACCTGCTAGAGGGCTTTGGCCTCAGTTTCCCACTATGTAAAGAGGACTGGTTATCCACAGTCCCCATCATCATGTAAACCATGGCATCTTATTTTATGTGCCTGCATGTATGTAAGGGTGCCACATACATGCAATGCCAGCAGAGACCAGAAGGGGGCATCAGATCCCCTGGAACTGGAGTTACTGATGGTTGTTAGCCACCATGTGGGTGCTGGGAACCAAACCTGGGTCCTCTGCAATAGCAGCCAGTTCTCTTAACCTAATGCCACGGTACCCTGCTAATCTTCCCAAGGTTAATCCCCAGGCAGGAATTGAAAGGTGGGCCTTTAAGGGGACTCTGTCATGAGGGCCCTTTTGCATGAATGGAGTCAGGCCACATATTCAGGGGTAGGCTTGTCTCTTACACCAAGGGATGAGGTGGGAGGCAGCCCTGACCCAAGGAGGTCCTTGTTCTTGAACGTCTAAGCCCCTCAAATCAATTAACCTTCATTCTTTCTAAAGTAACCAACCTTACGAATTCTGTTACTGCACTGGAAATGGACTAAGACCCACACACAGCCATTCAGCCTCCCAAGTGTCTCAGCCAGGATCCACCCACAGCTGCTCTGACACATCAGGCCCAGTCTTGTCCTGCAGACCTTTGCACAGGACAGAAACTTTGTGTAGGACTGTAGGGGAGAATACAGTCCTACACACAGAGACCTTGGCCTGAGCATGCTCAGCTAGGCTGGGATGAAACCCAGGAGGCTGCTTGGCTGGTCTGTCTTGGAGACAGAACCAAGAATCCCTAGGAACAGAGAAGACATTAGAGGGGCCCAGAAGAGCCACCCCACCCAGCTCTGGGGTGCAGGGGCAGTGACTCCAGGAAGGAGGGAGCACCCTGTCCCTTCTAGAATTCCATGGCCTCTTAGGGGAGTCCCTCTAGGCCTAGGTGTACCCTCATGGTCACTCACAGATTTCTCACTCAGCCCAAGCTGGTTCCACACAAAGGGGGACAGGATACGCAGCAGCCAGTCCTGGATAAACCTCCGCTGCGAGGCCTGGCTGTCTGAGGTGAGTTTCTGTGGGAGACACAGCCAGCTCCTGAACAGTGACCCACTGACACCTAACCTCAGCTCTCACCCCTCCCACCGGCCTCACCTTCAGCACCCGGCCCCTGACTTTCTCCAACTGCTGGGCTGCCTGGTCACGGTCTAGAGATGCCGTCAGACACTGATCAGCCAGCTGCAGGAAGGTGGCCACCACATCTGCCATGAGCTGTGAGAGAGATCCTCTGCTGACCCCCAGAACCCATGCTCCAGCCTGGGGGCCTGTTCCTCCCTGTTCTGGTCCCAGTTTCTTACCTCTGGGAAATAGCCCCAAGAGGGAGGGGAGAGGGAGAGAGAAGGAGGAGGAGTTGGGAAGTGGGTTCCCAGTAGAGGCCATAACATGTGTAAAAGCCTTGTGGCTGGCAAAGGATGAGCAGATCTGAGTCCAGTATGGGGGCCCCAGGGCCATGCTAGGGCCCCCAAGTTCAGAATGCAAGGCATGCACAAGTACGTGCCCGCCCCTAGTTCTGCCTTCCCCAGCTTCCACTCCTCTCCCTGCCAGGCTCCCAGCAGCAGACAGGTGTTCCTCCCCCCGACCCCTCCCACAGCTGCCCTGGCTCCTCATTGCAGTGGGAACAGATCCCCTCACTCTGGGCTCTACCTGACCACCAGCCTGTGCCCGCCAGCTGATTTTCCATCACAGACGTCCTGTCTCAGAGCCGGTGCCCTCACCTGCTGTGCAAGATCTTGCACCCCGAATACCAGGCTTCTGGTTCCACGGAAGCCCAGGGATTCGGCCAGCTGCCGGAGGCAGTCCTGGCTGCGCTCCGCGTCCAGGTAGCAGGCCTGCATCAGCTCCGGGTTCCACGGCATCTCCCCAAACCCGTACACCTGCGTGCGGGATGACACGACAGCATTGCGGACCCGCACCCGCCAGGCCCACGTGCCACTTATGCCCGGGCACTCACCTCCCTGCGCAGCCGCGGACTGGAGGGGTTCGCGAGGAGCTGGCGGGACAGCCGGTCCACGCCGCGGACGAATAGAGTGCGCACGGCCTGCAGCGCAGCTCCCACGGGGCTCAGCAGCGTGTGCGTGAGCTGTGGTAGCTGCGCGTCCACCGTCCCGCGCAGACACTTCTCCAGGGGTCCCCGGAGCTCCTCTGCAGAGAGACAAAGCCTAGGATCCCCTCCACCCGCCGCCCCTCACGTAGGGTGCGCGAAGACCCCGAGCTCAGCACAGCCGGCTGGGCGCCCACTTTACAGATGTGGAAACTAAGGCTCGAGGCGGAGGGGACAGGCCCAAAGTGCAGGCGGAGGACGTGACCGACCAGGATATCGCTGTGCGCACCAAGCTGCCCAACTCTCACAGCCTCGCTCCTTGACCGGTCGCCTGGCCTGGCACCTTAAGCCTGAGGCTGCAGACCACGACCACTGGCCTGGACGCGCCTTCTCTGTCAGCCTCTAGCCCCACTTCTTCACGCAGAGGCCAGTCACCAGCCCCGCCCGCTGACCACCACCTGCTCCGCTCTAAGGGCCGCCGCAGTCACCGCCCAACCCCGTAAGGCCCCGCCCGCTCTCCCGTTCCCCAACCCTGCTCTAAGACCTCTCCTTAGCGCTCAGTCACGGCCTATCCCTCCAAGCTCCGCCCCTCATCCTCAGGCCCCACCCTTGCCCCCAAGCCAAGCCCCTGCTCTCAGGGCCGGCCATCAGCTTGGGCCCCGCCTCTACTCCTAGTCACTGTCCGTCCCTACGAGGCTCAGCCATCTGCCCGACTCCCCGCCCCCGTCCCCCAAGCCCCGCCTCCGTCCCCAGGCCGCACCAGCCCTCAGGCCCCGCCTCCGTCCCCAGGCCGCACCAGCCCTCAGGCCCCGCCTCCGTCCCCAGGCCGCACCAGCCCTCAGGCCCCGCCTCCGTCCCCAGGCCGCACCAGCCCTCAGGCCCCGCCTCCGTCCCCAGGCCGCACCAGCCCTCAGGCCCCGCCTCCGTCCCCAGGCCGCACCCGCCCTCAGGCCCCGCCTCCGTCCCCAGGCCGCACCAGCCCTCAGGCCCCGCCTCCGTCCCCAGGCCGCACCCCGCCCTCAGGCCCGACCCCGGCCTCACCTCCCAACCTTCCTGCCAGCCTGGCGCGCTGCTGCAGTATCTGTTCCAGATCCGCGCGGATCGTCCTCTCTAGCGCCGCCAGCAGCTCGTCCTTCTCCGGCTGGAAGGCGCGCAGCCCTGCGGAGGCCCGGGCCAGCACGGCGGCGTGCACTGCATCCCAGAGCTGCGGGGCGGCGGGAAGGCTACGGCGGCTGCGTGAGAAGGGCAAAGGAAGGCCTCCCTCCCGCAGCTCCCCACAACCCGCACCTCGGCGTCGCAACCCGCAAGCCCCGCTGCACCCCGCACCCCGCACCTCGGTGCACGCCCAGGCCCGGGCTCCGCCGGCACCATTCAGGTCCCGCAGGGTCTCGGCTCGCAGCGCGGGCAGCAGCTCCCGTAGCAGCACCGCACTCAGCACCTGCAGCATAGGGCGGTGGGCGCCGGGCGGTGGGCGCCGGGCAGGGGGTTGGAGAGCCTTGGGCCCCCTCAAGCCACTGACCTCCGCGTCCGAGCCCAGCGTCAAGTCCTCGTCACAGCCCCGGCGCCGCTGGTAGACACGCACGGCGTCCAGGAAGGCGCGGGCAGCCGGGGCCTGGCTGCGCTGTAGGACTGAAGGACTCCATCACCTCCCTGCCCCTCCCCAGCCCAGTCTTCCTCCCGCCTTGCATGGGGGCCCCCTGCGGGCAGTGGGCTTCCCAGCCCCACAAATCCCCAGCCTCTCGCTGCACCAGGCCGCCTTCCGACTGGGTGCAATCAACCACCCGCCCACTCGCACTGCCCCCTTACCTGGCTGGCCCCTGAACCCTTTCAGACCGCCGCTTCCCCGGACCCACCTGTGTCCCGAAGCCGGATACCTCCCTGCAGAGCGAGCCTCCAGGCGCGCTGCGCCTCCCTGGTGTCCACGGAGAAGCAGAGGTGAGCGCGGAAGGGGTGAAGGAGGAGCAGGGGAAAGCTGACCGATTCCTCTAACAGGCGTGCAGACACTTCCTCTACACAGTCTCCTGAAAACAAGAAGTCGAGCCTTCGTTCATTCATTCGAGGAAAACCGTGAAGGAGTCAGGTGTTCCTGCCATCCTAGCGCTCATGAAACAGGGCTGTGAGTTCTGGGCCAGCCTGGGCAACAGAGTAAGAAAGACCCTGTCTCAGAAACAAAACAGAACCTTAATACCACATGGACCCAGCAAACTGAACCCTTTTCTGCATCTTACCAGTCAAGATGAACAGGGACTGGGTGGGTGGGACAGGCTCGCAGAACCCTCAGATGACCTGTGCACCCTGCTCCAGCCCACACAACTTTCTACCACCCCATCTGTCTTCTTGGGGAGTTTAAAACTCTTTGCTATTTTGTTTTTGTTCCAGTGACTTTACTGTCCCCTCACCCTTGAGGACTTTGGGTATATTTTTCCTTTCCAGAGCAAGAGTTCTCACCCAGAATTGGTGCCACCCACCATAGAGCAGGCAGCAACATTTACAGACATTTTAAGGGTCACACCCAGGTGCAAGTTGCTACTGCTAATAGATGGGAAGGGGAGGCTCCTGCTCAATTCCCAGAAGTGTACAGGGTGGTGGGATGGCTGAGGTGCTGGGGAGAGGAGGACCCAAGGATGGGGACCCCAGAGGCTTACCCAAGGAGTGTGGCCACAAATCGTCCAAAAGGCGGAGGTATTCATGCTGGGAAGTGAACAGTGTGTACCCCGTCAGCGCTGAGGAGCCCAGGGGACGGCCCCCAGACTCACACTCCTGTGACAAGGACCACATGAGACCAAATAGAGGTTCACTCAACCCAGTATAGAGACACACCCAGCTTCCAACCTGCCCTCTCCTGGTCCTTGGGTGGCCACAAGTGGAACCCAGGACCTAGCCCACTGTATGCCAGGACTCAACCTCTGAGGGAATTCTAGACTGGGACTACTTTACCTCTGAGCAAACCCCCAGCCCCTCACTGGGGGATTCTAGGCAGGAGCTCCATCCCTTAATGTAGCTGAGAGGCCTGTGCCTTCTGCTCACCTCCTTGTGGCTGAACCATTCCAGGCAGCCATCTCCACGCAGGACACAAAATATGGGGTGCCACTGTGGTGGGTTACCCCGAAGCTGGATCAAGGGTCCTTGGTGCTCCCGAACCCGGGGCAGCTTCTGCAGGGAAAGGGGGAGGAAGAGGTTACTAGGGACCAGGGCAGAGCTTGTGGTTACTGTGGACAGTTTTCAAATCTCAGGTTCCCCCAAATGCAGGATGTCAGGTCTTTTTTTTTCTCTTTTTTAAAAAAGATTATTTTATATGTATGAGTGTTTGCATTTATGTAAGTGCACCCATGTGTGCACTGCCCACAGAAGCCAGAAGAGGGCATCAGTTTTCCTGGAACTGGAGAGGGTTGTTAGCCACCATGTGGATGCTGGGAGCTGAACCCAGGTCCTCTGTAAGAACAGCCAGTGCTCTTAACCACTGAGCCATCTCTCCAGCTCTTCAACTTTTCTTTCTTATTTTAAACATTTGATTGATTGATTGATTGATTAACTGATTGATTGAGACAGGATCTGACTGTGATCCCCAAGTGCTGGGCTCAAGTAATCCTTATTTCTCAGCTCCCCAAATAGCTGGTAACCCCATCTCAAAAAGCAAAATATGTGAGGTGTGGGGTGCACAACCTTTAATTCCAGCACTCAGGAGGCAGAGGCAGGCAGATCTCCATGAGTTCAAGGCCAGCTTGGGCTACATAGTGAGACCCTGTCTCAAAAAATAAAACAAAGCTTTATATAGATTTGATCATACATAAGGCCCCATCCACACTCCTGAACCTCAAAAGCAGCCAGAGCTGGTCTCTGGAGGTAGGACAGGAGGTGCCCTCGCCTTTCACTCCAGTCCTGGAGAGGTGGAGGCTGGAGGGTCATCTCAAGACCAGCTGTACTACAAGAGCCCCATAGTATCCTGCATGCAACAGAGTTCCCAGTGGCAGGGGCTTTGCATTCATTGAGCTTTCTTCTCAAGGTGGGGTGGAGGGGGAACCACAAAGCCAAGATGGGGATGAGATCCACCGTTAGGAACCTTCAGGAATCCCTGGTTCCCATCCTATCTATGCTGTGTGCCCTCAGGCAGCTCACTCTGCCTCTCTGGACTTCTGAGTTTTTTACCAGTCAAGGCCCCTTTGGGCATCACGGAGGACACAGGGGACATTTGGTGGCTACAGCAATGTGAACATGCAATCCCCCATTCCAGAGCACTGCCTGGTGCAGAGGTTTCAATAGGCAGGGTATCATGCCTACAAAACTTGGGAGTCCCAGGGTCATGCTGGGCCCCCATACTACACTCAGGTCTGCCAAGCCTTTGCCAACCTCAGACCTCAGGGCTTTTGTACATGCTGTGCCAGCTTCAGGGAACAAGCTGCTTCTAAAGTCCTTCTCTTCCTCTGCTGCACCCCCGCCCTCCTCTGCATGCTGCAGTGTGTACAAAGGCCCCTCGGTCTGTCTGCCCAACACTACTGAGCCCACAGCCGAGGAGACAGCACAGCCAGGTCCCCATTCACCCCACCAGGGATGCTGCAAGACACTGGGGAGGGGCGGACTGGGGAGGGTGGCCTGCAAATTCCTGGGCAGAGGTTCCATCCTCAGGCACACACTTTGCTCCGGGACAGTTGGCATCTGGCAGGCTCTTGGGAACCCAGCTCTTGGGAGATATGTGTCAGCAGGGCAGTGGCCAGCTGCCTGCGGTAAATGGGCAGGAAGGTCATCAACAATGTATCCACCTGACCTGCATGGGCAGAAAGGACAGAGAGGCAAACGCTGCAGCTGGGACACCCCAGCAATTTGGGGTTCCCACAGCAAGCTGGCTGGTCAAGCTAGCCAGAATTTATGCACCCAGGTTAAGCAAGAAACCCTGCCTCAATAAGGTGGAGAGGGACTGAAGGTGACACTCCATGTCAGTCTCTAGCCTACGCGCACACACGAGAAAAAAAACATTTTCATTCACGTTTAACATGTATTGTTGCTGTACAGATCTGAGAATGAGGCCCATAGGCGAGTCCACTCACCCAAGGGCACACAGCAAGCTCAGGCAGTACTCAAGTCTAGGACTTGTAGAGTCAGTTTACAGAATAGGCCTTTGCATTGGCTGTTCCCACAGCTACCTGCCAGGGTGGCCTTGACCTCCTGACCCTCCTCCCTCAGCCCCCTGAGTGCAGCATGACAGGCTGTGCCCACCACACTTGGCTACTTGAATTTCATTTCAATCTGGATTCAACAAAAGCTCACACCTTGCAGACATGGAACAGTCACACTGAAGTCCAAATGCATGTGGCCTTCTGCACACTGGGCATCATGACCTGACCCCCAGGTCCCCTCTGCTCACCCCTCAGCTGCTGCTGCCGCTGTTTATTCAGGGGGCTTGACGACCGTGCTCCCATCTTGCAGCCGTCCGGTCCCCTCCCTACAGCTACCCAGCTTGTTGCCAGGCCTGGGTACAGTGTGTTCAGAAGCCAGAGGGGTACCCACCCGGTCTCACCCTGTCTGCACCTGCCTCCTTTTGTCCTCTAGGGACAAGCCAAGACTGTGACCATCTGTGGGGGACTGTAGGGGAAGCCCCAAGGGAGATTGCGGGGGTGTGGGGAAAGAACCTTCTGGCACAGCTGGGCAGGTGGCTCATCTCTGACACCCCAACACTTGAGGCTGAGGCAGGAGTGCAGGGTCATCTTCAACTACATAACAAAGGCTCATGAGACCGTCTTAAAAAAAACAATAAAAAAAGCCAGCATGATGGTGCACACCTTTAATCCCAGCATTCAGGAGGTAGAGACAGGCAGATCTCTGTGACAAAGGCCATACATAACAGTTCCAAGCCAGCCAGGGCTAGATGGAGACCTTGCCTCATAAAAAAAAAAAAGAAAGAAAAAAAGAAAAACCAATTACCTGGGAGCTGGTTACCAGTGCCCAGGGAACAACCCCCCTCCCCCCATTGCTGCTGGGTGCTATGGTATATAATTGAATCCCATATTGTAGGGCCAGTGGCTAGTCAATTGAGACTACATTTCCCAGCAACCTGTGCTTCTCCCACCTGGGTTGTGTAGTCTGTCCATGGGGTATTCCCTTGGTCAATTTTCTTTTCCTCTTCCAGAGACTGGAATGTAGGCATGATGGCTACAAGTAGCCCCCTGAACCTTGAGGCCGACCCACCAGTGGTACAGTAATCATGCCCCTTGTGAGACAGGACATGTCCCAGGCAGGGCTGCCCACCTGAGGTCCCCACACCCATCTCACCTTCCCTAGCTTCCTTGAGCCCTGCCTCAGCCTCTGCCCTCGGCTCTGGGGTATCCCAGCTAGGCGGCTCCCTTTGCTGGGCTTCTGTTCAGGCCTGTCCCACTTCCTCACTGGCACAGCTGAGGGGCCCTCAGGGACCAGGCACTGAAAGAACGTCACTTTCTGTGGTTCCAGCCTTCCTCCCTCCTGTGCAGCCACTGCTACCAGGAAGTTTCAATTCCCACCTCGTGTCTGACCTGTGTGAGCTTTCTGGGGGTGCCCCCTAGTCCCCCAAACTCAGCCAAGCCCACCAGCTTCCCTCACTGGGTCCCTGGGACTAGAAGAAACTGACAAATGGGTCAGCTGATCCTCCATGGCTACCTATGCTCCAACCACCCACCGAGCACACATTATAGTCTGGAAGATGAGGGGGAAAAGGAAACTAAGAACACTCCAAGACGCACCTCGACATTTCTTCCAGCTTCACAGACCCCATGCAGACTACAGACCCCATGTGACCTTTGGGTGGTCATACCAGGGCAGGCATCGAGCTAAGGACTGTGAGTAGGCCTGCAGGTGTTTTATGGCATCCACAGTTACTGGCTCTGAAGACACGGGCTGAGGTGTCTAGTGAGTTGTTCCTTAAGAGTGAAGCTCCTGGGGACTGGAGAGATGGCTCAGTGGTTAAGAGCACTGACTGCTCTTGCAGAGGACCTGGGTTTGATTCCCAGCACCCACATGGCAGCTACGAACTGTCCTTAACTCCAGTTCCCGGGGAATCCGAAGCCCTCTTCTGACCTCCGCGGCATTGCACGATATGGGTGCACTCACATACACGCAGGCAATATACTCACACACATAAAATAAATGTTAGAAAAAAATATTTTTTTTAAAAAAGAGTGACTCTCCTTTCCCTGCTAGTAGCTAGAATGTGGACACAATGGCTGGGTCACAGGCAGCCACTATGGATCAGGAGGTAGCTGACCATGATAACCATGGTATATAGTAAGCACAGATTCCAACACTCAAACCGGAGAATGGGACCAGATTTGGAACGGGAGTGGTTTTTGGTTTGCTTTTGTGGTGTGTTGCTGGGGATGTTAGCCCAGCTTTCATGACTGCTAGGCAAGTGCTACCGAGTCTTACCCCCAGCCTCTAAATAAAATTCTCTTTAGATACCCAGTGTGTAGTACTCTGTCTGCAACACCCCAGGAAGTTCCCTGCTGTCCCAGCACCCTGGGACTCCCCTCCCTGATCCCAGCACTTAGGCCTGTGGCCCAGGTACCCACCTGCCCCATGCCCATTGAGAGTTATACCACAGAAAGTTCCAGAAACACCCCTTTAATATCCAGTTGGCCAGCACAACAGCCAGGCTGGGAAGGACTTGCTGGGCTGGAGGCTGAGCCACCAGCTTCCAGCAACCCCAGGGCTTTGCCACAAAGCCCAGAGCAAAGAGGTTGGGAGGGGCCAGCCCTGGAAGGTCCCCAGCCACTGTGCAGGTCGTCTACATAGTGGGTCTGGTCTGTGTGGTCACTACAGCGTGGAATGCTTCTCAAATGGCACAGAGAGCAGTCGGGCAGCTGCCTCGTCCAGAAACCAACACAGTTTCCCAGTGTGGGGTTGCACCATGGCAGCCGGCAGAGGACTCTCCTCTCTGTCTTCCAGGATACGCTGCGCAGAGACAGAGCAGGAGACATTCTGGGCCCCAAGTATCCTGTGGGCCCAGCACCCCAAGTCTCCTACAGGTGGCTTGAACTCCTCTGATCCTCCTGTCTCCACCTCCCCAGGGCTGGGATCACAGGTGTGCCTCTGTACTTGGGTGCTGAGGATTTGAACTCAGGCCCTGAGATAGTCCAGTGTCCTAGGACGGCTGCTCCAATTCCCCACCTCCTCTGGGGTCAGCATGTGGGGTCAGGGTCTGTTGTGGCCCCTTTGTCCTCACCTTTAGCACAGCTGCCTTGCCTTCCCCAGTAGCCACAAAGATGACAGTCCGGGCCGCATTCAACACTGGAAGTGTTAGTGTCACCCGCTGTGGTGGTGGCTTTGGGGAGTCGATGATGGGGGCCACGATTTTCTCCCGCTCCTGGGGGTAGGGGGAGATGGAGTGGGGGGGACAGAATAAAGTCACTCCCACTCTGCCACTGTTTGTAGTACTGGGATGATGAGTACATGTGTTTCAGATGGGGACCTGATGTCCCACAGGGCTGCCGGGGTAGGTGCTGATACCCAGGGGAGCCCTAGATCCCCACTCACCTGCAGGAGCGGGTGGCCAGGGAAGAGCGAGCAGGTGTGGCCATCTGGGCCCACACCCAGGATGAGTAGGTCAAACACAGGTATGGGGTCTCCATTGAAGGCCTGGAGGGCAGGTTAGAGAACAGGAGGAATTGAGGGGCTCCATCCTCTCAGCTCCCCATCCTGTGGTGCCCCAGTTTCTACCAGTTTCCTGTTGATGTGGGGGCATAAGTCCCACATACCAGCCCATCCCCAGGGCCCTCAGCACAGCAAGACGCCATCATTGCACAAAGCCATCAGGACGTGACAGAAGGTCTGCAGGTTTCTGGCACTGGTCCTACTCTGTAGCCCAGGCCGGCCTTGACGCTCCTCCGACCTCTCTGAGTTCAGGGTCCCAGGCTTGGGTCACCGTTCCAACTGGACCACAGGAGTGGCAGGTTCCACCCTTTGCCATTCCCATGGCCAAGACCCCAGGGTCTGGAGACACCCCACCCGAGACAGAAGCCCTGAACTCCTAAATCCTAGGAACCTCCACATCATATGCCCAGGCCCTCAGAGGGGACTGACAGTACACCCCCAAGCAGTGGCTGCTGTGACAGTCTTGGATAGCTTCTCCATCCAGTCCTGGGACCCACCTGCCTCAGTTTTTCAGCATAGTCCTCAGCAGCATCTGCCACCGACAGGGCAGGGTTGATGGTGAGGACCTGGCTGTCGGGGATGGGCAGCTTTGAGAACACCTGTGTCTGTGGCAGATGAAGAGAGTGAGTGACCTGGTGTCCTCCAGCCCAGGATGCCCAAGCACAGTCCTGCCTAACCCCCATCCACAGACAGGAACAGGGCAGACCAACAGCCTGAAAGTCAGAAACCAGTATGTTGCTCAGATTGGGACCCGGCTGCCCCAGACCAAGAACTCCTATCCATCCCACATGACCCAGTCTGGCCATGCCCAGAGCAGACAGGAAAGGCAGGATGGAGGCTCTACCAGCCAGAGCTCATGGGACTGAGGACCCTGAACACAGGGGGCTCCAGACTGAGGATGACAGGAGCCAAGGACAATAATAGAGTCTGGGAGACTCTCAGTCTGACTTACTGTTGGAGCAACTGCCTTTATTCCTGCCTCACCCATCAGTAGCCTCTGACCACAACACTAAGACTTGGTTTCAGAACTTCAATATGGAACCTTTGACTGTGTCCTCCCATGCGACTACTTAGAAACCCTTTCTTCTTTTTCTTCTTGGGGTGGGGCTGGAGGGCATCAGAATGGTCTTGTGTAGCCCAGGCTGGCCTCCAGCTATGTAGCAAGGGATGACCTTGAACTCATCACTCTCCTCCCCAGTGCTGGGATGACAAGTGGGTGCCATCACATCTGGTTTATGTGGTTCTGGGGATGGAACTTAGGACATGCGGCATTCTTAGGCAAGCACGCCACCATCTGAGTTACAAGCACTCAACCAATTGAGCCCAACACCAGCCCCCCACAGTCCACTATTTAGTGTTCTTAGGGCAGGTGCCATGTTCAGGGTGGTGCAGTTTCAAAAGTGAGCTTCCCATCGAGTCCCTTGGGGACAGGTGTGAAGATGTAATACTCCCAGACTCTGAGGTGGGTGTGGTGGCCCCTGCCTCAGTACCCATGGAACTATTCACCACTGGGCAGGCTTTCCCTGAAGGGCAGGTGAAGGGCACGGAGTAAGCCAAAGATGCTTAAGAGTTCAGTCCTCCATGCCTGTTTCCCTGTGTGACGGAGGGCACTCTCTCCTCTATGGGGTTATGGTCCAGTGTGCCTATTAGAGATGATTTAACTGAAGCCCAGCGCGCCCTGGGGACACACCCCAGAGGAAGGGCTGCCCAGGACCCGCCAAGGCCGCCAGAGCCCAGGTGAGAGCCGCAGCGTCCCGCGCGACCTTCCGGAAGTGACCCCGGCAGCGCCGATGCCGGGGCACCCGCGAGGCCCAGGTTCACCTCGGGCATCTCGACACCCGGGATATAGATGTGAGACCGCGAAATGACCCGAAGCGGTCCCCGTAGCTGGTGTTTAAAGGTGGGCGTGGCCTCCCCCGCACACCCCGGACTGTACGCCTAGCCGCAATGTGAGACCCGGGCAGCAGTGCCGCGTTTAGAGACGAAAACGCGGAATGACTCCGAGCGGCCGCCGTAGTCTGTGGCCTCCATGACCGGCGGCCCGGATGTAGGTGTGGTGCGGGGCACTCGGCTTGGGCCCGGGCGGCCTCTGTAGGCCGCGTGCCGTACGTCGGCGCGACTCGCTCGGCTTCGCGTAGCGCTCACCCGGTACAGGCCGTACGTGCTCTCGGCGTGCTCGAAGGGCACGAGGCGCTCGTCGCAGAAGCCGACAGTCCAGCGCGCAAGGCCGGCGGGCCCGGAGGGGGCGACGGCGGCTGGCAGGTCTCGGGCCAGCATGGACACCAGGCTGCCGCCCGACAGTCCAAGCGCGAAGCGGCCGCGGGCCCCCTCGAGGCAGCACGCGGCCCGCTGCGCCACCAGCTGCGCCAAGGACGCGCCCAGCTCCTGAGGGCTGGAGAAGACCGAGATGAGTCCCGGCGCGGGCGCGGGCGCGGCCATGGCTACAGGGAGGCGGAAGCGCTCCCAGAAGCCGCTAGTGCGTCTGCGCGAGGGCCGATCGCGAATTCTGCCCCTTTTGAACCGCGCCTTGATTCATGCGCAGTTGTGCGAAAGAAGGCTCGGCTAGGCTGGGCGGTCCGACCGGTGGCTCTGGAGGATTGTTTGCAGTCAGGGCGGGCTGGGCGGGACAGGCTGTTTACAGAAGCAGAGCTCCACTTCAGTTCGGAGGGCTACGCGAAGATTCCGCATCGCTCGCGGGGTTTGGGGTAATGTGAGGAGGGGATTTTTGTTTATAATTTGAGTCAAAGACACTTGTAGCTCAAGCTGCTTCGTGTTTGGCCTGTCGGGCGGCAGCCTGGTTTCCGTGCTGGCCCGAGACCTGCCGGCCGCCGTCGCCTCCTCTGGGCCGGCCGGCCTTGCCCGGTGGACTGTGGGTTTCTGCGACGAGCGTCTCGTGCCTCGAGACCTTGAACTAATCTTCCCATCCCAGCCCCTGGTCTTAGTGCTGGGATGACAGGCATGCAGCTGGGCTCGAGGGGGCAGCAGCTCCCCGCACGGTATCGCAGCAGTGAGACAGTGGAACGTCTGTCTGTCTGCAAGCCAGTAGCCACACACGTCCCTTTACATAGCATTGAAAAGAGGCTAAGCCAGGTGTGGTGGAGCATCTCTTCATCCTAGCAGGCAGAAGGATGGCCACAACTACAGAGTGGGACTCCGTTACAACCGCTCCCTCAAGACATCCCGAGTGCATCATAGGAAAATATGTTAAGGTGGTGCTCCTCCCACACTGCTCTATAAAGAATAGAGTCCCTGCCAGCTAGGTGACGGACGTCTTTAATGCCAGCACTCGGGAGGCAGAGGCAGGTGAATCTCTGTGAGTTCAAGGCCAGCCTGGTCTACATAAGGGAGTGCCGGGCCAGCCAGAGCTGCTTAGACCGTGTCTCAAAAAAGAAAAAGAAGAAAAAAAGTCCAGAGAAAAGATGGAAATGATTAAGCAACGGCCCCCAGATGTCTTGTGGACAGAACACGGATGTCTTAGTGCCAAGAAAACTCAGTGTGCCACCATTCCAACTTCCCTGCTGCTTCTAGATGTGACACCATCCCTGAGTAGGCTCATGTGACTGAACAGGTGAACCCCAGCTGCGGGAGCAATTTTAGGAGAGTATGGAGCTTTGAGGACTGATGGTTAGGGAGTCCAAGTAGGTTAACCAACCTGGGCCCTGCAGGTGACAGCTTCCGGTTCGACTGAGGCGCTACTTGGAGCCTCCAAGACCAGAGCAGCTTCAGCCACTTCTTCCCCAGGAGCACCACGATAATCAGCAAAAAGCAGGACCTCGGGTATTATCTCCTCAGCGTTGTTCCTGTCCTGCATTTATCAGCAATAGGAGTGGCTGATAAGGGCTGGAGATACAGCTCAGCAATCAGGAGCACTGGCTGCTTCTGTGGAGGACCTGGTCCAGTTCCCAGCACCCACATGCTGGCTAACAACTGTAACTCCAATTCCAGAGGATCCAGTGCCCTCTTCTGGCCACTATGGGCATTGCACACACACAAGTGCACTTAAATACATGCAGGCAAAGCACTCCTCTACATAAAATTATTTTAAATACTAAAATAAAGAGTGGCTGATACGATAGAGCCCTCAAACCTAAAGCTGAAATCGGAAAAGTTGAAAACCAGAGCACTTAGTTATTTGGTCCAGGAGCTAAATCCAGGTATCCATGCATGCTGAGCCCAGCTGTGCCACCCAACTGCACATTAGCCCCCATCCACAGCTTCCTGAGCACTGACATCTGGCTACAAGTGGACAGTTACCATAAAATGTTACAAGGACAAACTCATTAAAAAACCAGGTGTGGGCCAGGTGTGGCAGCGTACGCCTTTAATCCCAGCACTCGGGAGGCAGAGGCAGGCGGATCTCTGTGAGTTCAAGGCCAGCCTGGTCTACATAGTTCCAGGACAGCTGGGGCTACAGGGAGACCCTGTCTCAAAAAGACCCCCCCCCCAAAAAAAGCCAGGTGTGGTGGTGCACACTTTAATACCAGCCCTCATGAGGCAGAGATAGGTGGATCAGGCCAGTCAGAACTATAGACCCTGTCTCAAGTGTTTAGATAGATAGCTCAGGAGATAAAGGCACTTGACACACAGCCTGAGTTCAATCCTGAGGACCCAAATGGTGGAAGGAGAGAACTGACTCCTGCATGTTGTCCTCTGACCTCCACACACCTGCTGTCACATACACAAATTGTTTTGGATGTCTAAAATTCATTTCAGACTGCATGTTTAAGGCATGAATGACAGACATCAATGCCTTTTCTGTTTGGGTGGGAGTCCTAGTCCCAAGAGGCTCATTACACACATAGGAATGGTCTCAAAAATTCAAATTTCAACTGTTCTTGGACCCATTATGAGGCTGGTGCAGGAGAGGTACCTTGGAGTTCAACAGCCTGGGAAAACAGACTCCATTTCAAAAGAAAGATGAGGGAATAGACTAGATCAGTGTAGAGCCCCTACCTAGAATCCTCCAGTGAGGGGCTGGGGATGTGGCTCACAGATAGAAATCCTGCCTGGAATCCCCTGGTGAGGAGCTTGGGGAGCTCAGTGGTGGAGCCCCTGCCTAGTGTGCATGAGACCCTGGGTTTCTTCCTCAGTGATGCAAAAGAAGGAAAGTGGAAGGAAAGAGAGGAGTGGCCCCTTAGAAGCCTTTCACATAACTGCGGTGTGAATTGGCTCACATGTGGCCCCACTAAGCGTTAATAACATAATTGCTGTGGGGTGTGAAGGCCAATGGGTTGTTTTCTTCAAACTTAAAATTGAATTTTTTTTTTTTGGTCTTTTTGAGACAGGGTCTTCCCTGTAGCCCCAGCTGACCTGAACTCACTATGTAGACCAGGCTGGCCTTGAACTCACAGAGATCCACCTGCCTCTGCCTCCCGAGTGCTGGGATTAAAGGTATGAGTCACCACACCCGGCAAAATTGAATTTTTAAAAACTATTGGTGATACTTTTTTTTTGGTTGTGTTTCCACAGGACCTCAATATGTATGGGGGCAGCAGCCTGCTGCTTCCATTTCCAGAGGGCAGGTTTTTGACAGACATATGTCTTTGTGTGTGATTGGCTATATTTCTTTGTTTTTTTTTTTTTTGTCTTTTCGAGACAGGGCATGGGCAGACTCAGATTGTCAGCCTGCTGAGCCTCCACACTGACCCTCTTAATGCTCTTGCTGCGCCCATAGATGGGTGTATCACTGTCTCTGGGGCACCAAGGGTCAAACCAGGGATTGGGGTTCCCTAGAGACTGGAGTGAGGCAGGCTGAATGCTGGCTTGGTAATCCCTGTTTGAGGCTCCCTTGGTTCTATGTGGTGTGGGGTCGCTCCCTCTCCTCGTGGGCCGTTGGCCACCACTCCAAGAGGACAAAGGGAGTTGTGATGGCTAATCCTGGGTGTCAACTTGATTGGATCTGGGATTAACTGAAAGAGATCTTGATTGGATCATCTAAAGCCAGAAGACACACCCTAAATGTGGGCGTTACCTTCTGATGGCAGCCGGTATGAAAGACCAAGGCAGAGCAGAACGCCAGGCTTTTTGGCTGCTTGCCTTCTCTCTCGCTGGTGAGTTTGTCTTGCTGCTGTAGACTGAAGACTAGCTGATCTTTTGGAATTTGTCAGACCTTCAGCACCAGACTGGGACTGAGACATCCAGCCTTGTGGACCGAGCGACTACAGATTCTCAGCCTCTCCAGTGTGGTGCAGCCATTGTTGGACTACTTGGATTCTATCCTGTAAGCTAATCCCATAAATCCCTCATTCTACCGGTTCTGTTTCTTTGGCAAACCCTGACTAATACAGGAGCAGAAGCGACGAGCGGGGTCAGGATGGCCAGTGAGCAATGAGGGAAGAAAGCCCTTCCGGGGAGGCAGGTTCAGTGATGCAAACAGCTCCAGACTCAGTGAAACACTCCAGATTCAATGAAACACTCCAGATTCAGTGAAACAGCTCCGTTTATTTAGTGGGATGTTAGGGAAAATACAGTGTGGAGGCCAATGCTTCAGCTGATAGGTGCTCATAGTATGCTTTATTTACATGTGGCAGTGGGATCCTATCATCCAGCTATAGGGCAATGCCTAATTGTCATATAGAAAAAACCTGGGGGTTTTATTGCAGGTAACTATGCCAAAGGTCATGTTCCAAATAAGGTCAGGCATCCGTGCTTGGTGGCACTTTCCAGGTAGGAGAGTCCTTCCATATGGCGCCGAGCCCCTTAGAGCTATCCAGACATGGAGGACTACAACCCTAGCAGCAGGGTTCCCCAACAATGTGGGTTGCCATGTGAATATGACTGTCCCCCAAATTCATGCAGAAAGTTTTGATAATGGTTTTAGAAGGTGAAGATGGGGGCTGTTGGAGCTGGCTCAGCAGGAAAGGTGCTTACAGTCATGTCTGACAACCTGAATTTGATCTCTGGGATCTACATGGTGGAAGGAGAGAACAGACTCCTGTAAGTTGTTCTCTGACCTCCACACATGTGCTATCTCGCACACACACACACACACACACACACACATACATAAATGTAAATTACAAACACACAGAAACAGTTGACGGCTCATACCTGTGATCCCAGCAGTAGGAAAGCAGAGGCAGGCAGATCTGAGTTTGAGGCCAACCTGGTCTACATAGCAAGTTCCAGGCTAGCCAGGGCTGCAAAATGAGACCCTACCTTGAAAAAAAATTTGCACATGTTGAATGGTGGTTCATGCTTATAATCTCAGCACTCCTGCAGGAGGATTGGGACTTTGAGGCTAGCCAGGGCTATATAAGGAGACAGCCTCAAAAATAAGCTTACAACCAGGCCAGGCATGGTGGCGCATGCCTTTAATCCCAGCACTTGGCAGGCAGAGGCAGGCGGATCTCTGTGAGTTCAAGGCCAGCCTGGTCTACATCAGGACAGCTGGGGCTACAGGGTGACTCTCTCAAAAAGACCAAAAAAAAAAACCAAAAAAACAAAAACCAAAAAACAACTTACAACCAAAGGTAGAAATGTAATCCTACCCCAGTGTGGGGTGTCCCTGATGATAACTTGTCACAACAGTGCTTGGCTTTGAGCCTTCAAGGCTGAGCTTTACAAACCATTTTCCTTTATAAAGCCACAGCCTCAGGCATCTCACTAGTCATGAAAACACTCCTTGGAGGATTTGGCTGGATCTAACCATCTTTCTCAAAATTGTCTTTTCTAGTATTTTTGCGACAGGGTCTTGCTTGGTAGCTCAGATTTGCAGTGATCCTCCTGCCTCAGACTCCTATGTGCTGGGATCACAACCTCAGCTAACATGTCCTGCTTGGTAGTACAGGTATGTTGGGCTGCAGCAACCATCAGGGATGGTCAGACACTGGGCTGTGTCACTCCAACCTGGACACAAGGCCACAGCAATGTCCTATGAAGCCTCACATCTGGCCAGGGACTCTACTACTGTCAGGCCTGTGCAAACAGGGTCTCAGGTTGGGAGAAGTCAGGTGAGGTCTGACTTGGGCAAGGTCATTTTTTTCTGCCCCCATCCTGGGGCTGCTGTCCCCCAGAACTGGCTCCCATCACATCATCTGGGGGCCTGTATCCATCTCAGCTTTTGATTCCCTCATCCATAGGCCCTGCTTTCCCATGCCCTACATCATTGGCACAAAGCAGGAGGTGCCAAGCAAAGGCCACAGGTGTCCTCTGGGGTCTGGCCAGCACAACTTACCCCACCCGTCCTGCCTCAGAATGCAGAAGAACAATGGGCAGATGGAAGACACTGGGCCCCAGCAGGGTGAGGGACTTGGTGTTTTATTTCTTAAAACCAAGAAATGGTGTCTGCATGTTCCGACACCTGTGAGGTGGCTGGGGACACTGCTGTCCCCAGCCTTTAGGGTCTGGACCCTCAGGAATGAGGGAGAGCCAGGGTGACCGAGATGAGCCCCTGTGAACCTGATGGAGACATGGGAGCCAGTGGGGTGGACTGACCAATGTCACAAGCAGCAGGTCAGCTATGCACAGTGGTGGTGGGGACACACATCCAGAGTCACCACCAGAGAGCACCTGAAGTCATCACAGCTCTTTCTCTGTAGCGGTGGGGACCACCCTCAGGGTGTTGCCTCCTCCTGGAGGTCCTAAACAAACATGAGGCTGGGGCCAGCAGTGGTGATATCCAAGTGGTCAGAGTCAGTCCTGGAACTTTTGAGGGGAAGAGGAGGAGGGAGACCCATCAAAGACAGAATAGTGCAAAACAGTCATCCACCTAGATCAGGCAGCATGCTGCACACCTGCATCCCAGCACAGGCAAGCTGAGGCAGGGGGATGGGGACTTTGAGGCCAGCTTGGCCTCCACAGTGAGACCCTGTCTCAAAACAAAGTGAAGTTTCCAGTTGACTGGGAATCTGCAGGGCACTGATGTGAATGTGCTGCAGCTAGTGTCCACAGGGGAAGGTGGCTATGTGGTGTCCATTGGCTCCATGAGGAAACCATGGGTAGGTTCCTAAGGCACAAGGGGGTTGGTGGGAACTGCACTCTAGATCATGGTTCCTGGACACTGGTCCCTGTGCAAGACACAGTTGCCAAGATACATCTGTGGGGCTCCTGGCAGGCCCACAGAAAAGAGATGGAAGAAGAGGCCTAATGGATGGGGAGAGGGATGTGGGAGACGGACACCGGGCCTGCACGTTCCAGTTCCCACTCCTGTGGGTAAAGCTGGGCAGATGGCCAGGCAGGAGGGCCACTGGGGCAGGAGTCTCTGCTCAGGAGTCCAGGTGCAGCAACTGCAGCTGGCCCATCAGAGGGAGAAGTCACCAGCACAGATACGAGTGTAGACGGCATCGTCCAGGGGCAGATAGCCCCCCTGCTTTGGGTCCAGGAAGAACAGCCGGTCTGAGATCTGGTGAGGGTCAAAGCCCTCACGCTGCAGCTGTGTCTTCTGGATCTTGAAGGTGCCTGTTGGGGAGGAGGGAGGAGCCTTGGCCACCTGTCTTCAGACCTACAGCTTCCAACCCTCACATTCCTAGTACTGTAAGAAAATACTAGCTCCTCACTCATCTCCCACAGGGTGGCTCATAGCCCAGCGACCTCTGGGCTTTTGTTAGAGCACACCCGTGTTCACTCATCAACTCACTGCTATAGCTTCTCTGTGCCAGTGTCAGAGCTAAGTAGTCTCAGCAGACTGTGCACCCCACAAAGCTAGACTTGTGGGCTTTTATTGTTCTTTTTGTCTTTTTGAAGCAGGGTCTCCCTGTAGCCCCATCTGGCCTGGAACTCACTATGTAGACCAGGCTGGCCTTGAACTCATAGAGATCCGCCTGCCTTTGCCTCCCAAGTGCTGGGACTACAGGTGTGCACCACCACGCCCGGCTTTATTGTTCTTTTTAGAGACACCGGTCTTACTTTGTAGCCTGGGCTGTCCTGGAACCCACTATGCAGCCCAGGCTGGTCTCAAAATCAAGGTGGTCCTCCTGTCTCAGCCTCTTGAGTGCTGGGTGAGCCACCATACCTGCTGAAAACAGACTATGGGCTGTTGACAAAAAGTGCGCTTCACGGCTGGGGCTCAGTGGGTAGAGTGCTTGTACCTTAGTGGGTAAAGTACATGTAGCTCAGATGTAGAGCACTTGCCTAGCATGCATGGGCCCCTCATTCCATCCCCAGCACCACACAGACCTTGTGGTGGCACACATTTGTCATCTGGGCATTTGGGAAGCTGAGGTCAGAGGATGGCAAGTTCAAGGACAGCCTGGGTTACCATGGGGAGACCCTGCCTCAAAAATAATAATTGGGCATGTGGCTCAATGGGAGAGAGCCAGCACAGCATGCTTGGGGTAGGGGGTTTGATCATCAGCACTGCAAGAAAAGCATAAAAGAAAAGAGGGAAGTGCTGTACAGCCAACACAGTGGCGAAAGACAGGAACAGGCAATTCAGGGAGGACCACGGGACTGGGTTGATGGAGGTCAGAAGAAAGGAGAAATGAAACAGCAAACAGAACATTTGGGGACACCTAAAGGGGAGCTGGGTGCAAACACCCACCAGTAAAACGGCCCCGTAGAGCCCACCGAGGGAACCCTCACTGTCACACAGAGGCCTGAATTCCACCAACAAGTGGTTCCTGAAGGGCAGAGAGGGGGCTGTACCTGTGGTATCCACCTGGGGCAGGAGGCGCAGGAAGATGGGCCGGGCATAGGATGCCAGAACCTTCTGCAGCTCCTCATACATGGAGTTAGGGTCCAGCTGGCTGTGGGGGTCCGCAATGGCAGCCATGCCTGCTTTCCCCTCTACTCCTGGAGAGGGAAGTTCAGCTGAGACCACCCCACCCACCTGCAGGTCTCCACTCAGCAACCCTCTTCCAGCTGGGATGTGATAAAGATCCCTGCTTCCGTCCTGCTCCCCAAAAAGTGTCACCATCACGACCCCCTCTTCTGCATAACAGGACTAAGGTTCAACATTAGTAAAGAGAGCGGACTCCCCAGCCAGTGTTCTCCCCAGTCTGCCATGTACAAGGCGTACTTCCCAGGGGTATGGTACCTCCAGGTCCCTTCTGGGTGGGCTGCCCCATAGTTTCTGCACCCCACAAGCCCTCTTGCACCCTCAGCTTGCCTGGCACAGCGACTCCATACACGGCCACATCGATCTGGCCCAGCAGGTTGCTCAGCACAGCCTCCACCTCGGTGGTGGACACGTTCTCCCCTCGCCAGCGGAAGGTGTCCCCGCTGCGGTCTCGGAAATACATGTAGCCCAGTTCGTCCATCACCAGCACATCACCTGCGGAGAAGAAAGGGTGGTGGGACTACGGCTCGCATTATGGCAGCACCAGCCAGCCCAGGTGCGCAGGCTCACCTGAGAGGTAGGCACTGTCGCCTTTGCGGAAGACACTGTGGGCGATCTTCTTACTGGTGGCGCTGTCGCTAACGTAGCCGTCGAAGCGCCGCAGAGGATCCTGCTGGTTGATCTGACCGACTAGGAGGCCGGGCTCCCCTGGAAGAGGCGAAGGTGAGGCGGAGGTAGGTGCAGAGGGACTCTGGCGACGGGGCAGGGCCCCCCAGCTCCCCCGGACCAGCGGGGCGCCACGCTCACCGGGCTGGCATGGGATGCACAGGCCCTGGGCGTCCCGCAGCGGCTCCATCGTGTCCTCATTGACCTTCACCAGGCGGATGGGGTACACGTGTGTGAGGATGCGGCTGTTGAAACCACAGGAGCCAACCTGGGGAGGAGGAGGCCGAGGTGACCTGCCTGCCGGCTGGGGATACTAGGACTGCCCCTAGCGGCCCTCCAGCTGTGCCGTCGGGTGAGCGGCCAAGCCGGGAAGACGGCCCTGAGCACAGCCCTCATGCGGGGACATCACGACTCCTACTGGAGTCCACAGCAGAAGCCCAGGTCAGGGAGGCCCGGCACGCGCCCACCTTGCCGTCCATGTTGGCGATGCTGCAGTTGCACTCGGTGGCGCCGTAGAACTCGCCGATCTGCCGCACACCGAAGCGCTGCGTGAACTCCTCCCAGATGGCCGGCCGCAGGCCATTGCCCACCGCCAGGCGCACGCGGTGCCGCCGCTCGGCGTCACGCACTGGCTGCCTCAGCAGGTAGCGGCAGATCTCCCCGATGTACTGCACCACCTGGGGGCGGGCGGACGGGCTGGCTCAGGGCGGGGCCACACTGTGGGGGGAGGGCTGGGGCGGGCACACAACGGATGGAGGTGCTGGCGGGGGCGGGGCCGGGTGTGATCTCGGGGAGCCCCTGGAGTGCCCTCATAGTCTTTAGCTCCTTTCGCATTGTGTTTTTTCCTTTCCTTTTCTCCCCCAATAATTCTCTCTGTTGGGGCGGGTTTCTATGCAGCATTTTACAGATGGAAAAACTGAGGCTGACAGTAACGACCAAGGTCATGAGCTGGTAAGTGGCTGGATTCGACTTTGAAGCCAGGTACCCTGTACCCAGTTGGAATGAACCAGCGACATGCCCAGGTTTAACCCCCAGGTTGGTCACAAAGCATCCCCATCATCTGCAGAAAGGGACCCAAATTGCCAGGGACCTGCATTCTATTGCCTGGACTGCCTCTAGACACTGTGTAGACAACAACCGTGCCCTACAGCTGTGATTGGATGGGCATGTGATCAGCGCCAGGTCAAGGAGCATCAGCACTGGGTGGAGGGACTACTGGGGCTAGAAAGGCCCTGCACACCACAGACAAGCCTCAGCCTCCCCTTTTCATGTTTTTTTTTTTTTTTTTTTTTTTTTTGAGGCAGGGTCTCACATAGCCCAGGCTGGTATAGATCTTCTGATCCTCCTGCCTCAATCTCCCAAATGCTGGGGTGGCAGGTGTACAGCACTGTGCCCAGTCTGACCTGGGGTCTTACCACCTGTCTCTCATCTGGTCCCACAGTCATTAGCCACCACACCCAGCTTACTGCGCAGCCTTGATGGAAGGTTGAAAAGCAGCTGGGGAGGCTCCTGGAGAGGGGCAGTACCCCTCCTCCACCACTGCAAAGGGAAGCCAAGGAGAAGACTGAGGAGACAAAATGCAGGGCTGGGGACGTGGTTCAGTTGGCAGAGTATGTGCCCAAAGTGCAGGGTGCACAGGACCACAAAGCCATGCATAGCCTCGGCTACATGAAAGCTCCAAGCCAGCCCCAATTACGTAAGTGTCTGAGACAGCGAAAGCGAGAGCGAGAGAGACCTCCTAGATCAAATTGTACCTGAAGCCTGAACCATGGGCCATTCTGTTTCTGTTAAGAAAGCCTTGTCTTGGGGCTGGAGAGACGGCTCAGCAGTTAAGAGCACTGACTGTTCTTGCAGAGGACCCAGGTCCAAAGCCCTCTTCTGACCTCCACGGCATTGCGCGACACGGGTACACTCACATACATGCAGGCAATACATTTGTACACATGAAATAAAAAAATAATAAAATATTTTTTAAAAAGCCCTGGGCTGGGTGTGGTGGTGCATGCCTTTAATCCCAGCACTTGGGAGGCAGAGGCAGGCGGATCTCTGTGAGTTCGAGGCCAGCCTGGTCTACATAGTGAGTTCCAGGCCAGCTGGGGCTATGGGGAGACCTGTCTCAAAAAGACCGAAAAAAAAAAAAGCCCTGTCTTTACGAAAGCCGAGACCTTGGTGAGGGTTTTGATCTCTTACTATTGACAAAAACCCCACCTATACCCACGGCTGCCCTCCAAACTCTCATCAGTGTAGTCCCAATGCCTGTTGTCCAAATACTCAGGAGGCTGAGACAGGAGGATCCTGGGCCTCGACCATCCTAAGCTGCCACATTAGACTCTCAGGAACTACACAGAACAAAACTCATCTGCCAGGTGTTTCTGCTACCATGTCCACATTCCCTGGTGCCTTTATTGGAACATGGCCTTCCAAGCACCTTCCCCTTTCTGTCACCCTCCTCCTGTCGCCAGGCATCCTGATACCCCACATACTGTAACCCCAGCGTGGGGAGGCACAGACAGGAGGGTCCCTGCAGCTCACTAACTAGCCAGTCTAACCAATCAGCAAGCTCTGGGTTCAGTGAGAGACCCTGTATCAAAAAATAAGCCGGACAGGGACAGAGAAAGACACCTGACATCAATGTCTGGCCTCTGTACACACTCGTGTACAAAATTCACCAAGAAAGCAACCATCCCAGGCCTGGGGTGTGGCTTTAGGTACATGCTACTCCAGCCTTGAAGGTCCTGGGGGATGGAGAGAGGATGAAAACAAGCAAGCAGGCAGCCAACCACCATTTGTCAGAGCCAAAGGCTCCAGTGTGTGACAAGAGGCTGGAAGAGGGGTCAGGGACTGCTAAGGGGGGTGAAGAGTTCTGGAACTAAGAGAGGTAGAGTGCATGGCATGGTGTCACTGGACTGTTGGGAGCCTGGTAGTGAACCCAGGGCCTCCACCTGAACTTAGAACCAGAGCCTTGGCTAGGGTGCTGGGCTGGAATCCAGGGTGCCTGCACTAGGAAGCACTCACCAGGAGCACGACACGGGTACACTCACAGACATGCAGGCAATACATTCATACATATGGAGCCCAGCTCCAATCTTCTGTGTTTTCTTAAGTGACTCCTTTGTATCTCAAATACTGAGAAGCAGTTTTCCCCAGGAACACTCCCTCTCCAAGCAGGTGGTAAAACCCTCAGATGCCAGTAGAACACAGCCTTCCCCTTCATGGGCCTTCAAAGCTAGCCATCCTGCCTTGTCCAGTATGCCTGTGACCTGGGCAAGCCCTGAGTCACATCTGCCACCTGGTAATTAGCCTGGGCCCTGGACACACCCAGCTGTCTCTCCCCAGCACGCCTTGCACCCCAGCTGCAAAGAGCAAGGTCTTAATTCCATTCACTGTCACCCAATGCTAGGGATGGTGCCCAGGGTCTAGCGTGTGCTGGCAGTGGTCTACCTACATCACCCCTGTGTGCTCTTAAAGCCCCAACTTGGGGCTCTCCCTGTCCAGAGAGGTGACCTCACTCATGTCCTCATGTCCCATTTGGAGCCCTGGAACTGCTCAGGCACCCTGGCCTCCATCCCAGTTGCATTACACTACCTCAGTTTCTCTGACTGTAAAATGGGTACAATGCCTTGTCAGTATCCAATTAGGAGAGTCCAAAGACTACCCTGCATGACAACAGGAGTCCAAGGGGAACACCTGCTGTCCTTCTTTTCCTCAGGACAGCTCCCCCAAAGATGGGTAGACACTTCACCTGGCCCCACTGGGAGGGGTGGGGCCTAACTAGATGGATGTCACTTAGCTAGACAGAGCATGACCTGAATGGGAGAGGTGGGACCTGGTGGTCAAGGTTGTCATAGCTAGGCTATAAGAGGTGTGTAGGACCCTGGCAGGAGGGGCCAGGACTAGAAGATCCTGAACCCTGAGTGGGATTGGTGTCTGGAGGGGTAGGATTCAGTCACACATGGTGAAGGGGAAGCTCTAACATTGGGGGCAGGGACCCTGCAAGTTGGGTTGGGGTCTAGGCATGCAGGTAGGGGGATCTATAGTGGAGGCAGAGCAGAGGTGGGGGATATCTCTGACCCATCTTGAGCCCAGAGCAGGATTGGCTTCTGGAGGTGCAGGGCCTACCGTGCAGTTGTACTTGACACAGTCATCCCAGAAGCGGCTGGCTGAGAACTTCTTTCTCAACACCACTGTCAGCCCATAGATAACACACTGGCCCACGCCCATAATGTTCCCTGTGGAGATGGCGGCTGTGAGCTGTGAGGGGCCCTGGGGGGGGTCCCAAGCCCCCCTGGGCCACACAAATACCTGCCGAGTGGTAGAGTGGCAGGCAGTCGTAGAGCACATCATTGGGCCGCATGCTGTAGGAGTGGTGGCCAAAGGCAGCAATGCGGTAGTACCTACGGGCGGCAGCACGGTTGGCCCTGGGTCCCAAGTACAGCAGGCAGCACATGCCCAGGGTGTGGGAAAAGTGTGACGGCACTGGGGCATCACAGGGGCCTGGAGGTGACAGCACTGGTCTGGGGACACAGAACCCCAGGCCCCAGCAGGCAGGCTCTCTGAGGGCCCAGCACTGCATATGCAAAGGTCCTGAGGCCTAAAGGGGCCTGGTGGGCTGGAGGAGGGGCCAGGGCCAGGGAGGGCTGAGGACAAAGGGAAGGCACATGGGATGGCAAGGCCTGGACATGACCAGACAGTGGGTTTCACTCTGAGAGCCAAAGCAGCCCAGGAGGTCACAGACTTTACGATTTAAAACCCTCAAGGGGCAGAGCCAGGGAGGGGCAGGGCCAGGGAGGGGAGGAAGGAGGAGAAAAGTGGACACTGGGGGACACTGGTAGCTTAGCTGGATGTGGGACAGGAGGGTCTGGGACACCAGTGGGGGCGATGGGGTGTTGAGGTGCCTCACAAGTCAGACCTCCAGGGGCTGGGGACACTGGGGACAGCTGGGAGCTCTGAAGCATCTGTGGGCCCCTGCTCACCTGCTCTGCACCACAATGGCTGCCTTGGGGAGCCCGGTGGTACCCGAAGTGTAGATGTAGAACAGCCGATCTGCAAGCGAAGGTAGCTTTGGGCACTGAGTCTGGAGGGTTGGGGTGGGGGCAGATGGGAGGGGCCCCCTTTTACTCACCATCCATACCCTTCCCTGGGGCCTGTGCCAGAGGTGTGGTGGGTGCCTCGGCCAGCATGGGGTCCAGGAGCTGCGTGTCTGGCAGGACACTCTCAGGCCGCACATCTCCAGAGCAGAACTTGAGGAGGCTCTTTCCCAGCTGCCCGTTCACCTCCGCCACAGCTGCAGGGACACAGGCTCAGGGTGGTCATCATCCAGCTTCCAGGCCAGCGTGGCCCTTCCCTGGGCAGCCCCACGACCCCACCCACCTGGTGTCCACCCACCCCGGTCTCACCAGCTGCCATCTCCCCGCCGTAAATGAGAGCTTTGGCGGCTGACGTGCCCAGGCAGAAGGCCAGAGGCTCCCTCCTTAGGTTGATGTTGAGTAGCGCGGCCACCACACCAGCCTTAGCCAGGCCCAACCACAGCCCCACGAACTCAGGCCGGCCCTCCAGGAACACGGCCACCACATCGCCCTTTGTGAAGCCCAGCTGGTGGAACAGGTTGGCCACTGCATTGGAATAGGCATCGAGTTGTGCAAAGGTCCAGCACACACCACTGCTTGCGTCCACCAGTGCCAGGCGCTCTGGCTGTTGCTGAGCTACTGCCTGAAAGATGAGTGGGATGGTGTCCCCGGCACGCCGGTGCTGCCGAAGCTCCATTCGCACCCGGATCAGAACGGAAAGGCCGCTGTGGAGGAGGGTACTGGATCACTACCCTGAAGCTGCCTGGAGCCTCAACATCCCCCTTAGGGGACTCTGGGCAGCTAGGGATCCAATTAGATCATACATGTTTAGTCCTTTAGTGGCTAATATCCCCCAAGGAAGGGATGCCAAGGGCAGGGGACATTTACCAATGGGCCAGGAAGCTGGTGGATCTCCAAAAGCCAGTCAACATGCCCTCTCTCTCAGCTGGACTGGAGCCCTCGGGGGCTCCAGCCAGATCTTGGGGGTGGAACCCAGGGGCTCCTACATGCTCAGCAAGTACTCTACCAGAGCCACGCCCTCAGCCCCTCACGGGGGGATTTCAGGCAGAGAGGCTTTACCCATGATCCATGTCCCCAACCCCTCACTGGGGGATTCTAGGCAGGGGCTCTACTCCTAATCCACATCCCCAACCCCTTACTGGGGGATTCTAGGTAGGGGCTCTACTCCTGAGCCACACCCCCACCCCTTCACAGGGGATTCTAGGCAGGCACTCTACTTCTGAGCCACTCTCCAGCTCTCTTCTCACTGATTGTTTTGTTTTGTTTTGTTTCTTTTGTCTTTTTGAGACAGGGTCTCCCTGTAGCCTCAGCTGTCCTGGAACTCACAGGCTGGCCTCGAACTCACAAAGTTCTACCTGCCTCTGCCTCCCAAGTGCTGGGATTAAAGGCATGAGCCACCAAGCCTGGCCTCTCTTCTCACTGTTTTAAGAAAAGATCTCACCATGTAGCCCTGGCTGGCCTGGAACTCACTATATAGACCAGGTTGGCCTCTAACTCACAGAGATCTACCTACCCCTGCCTCCTGAGTGCTGGTCTTTTTTACCTTTTTACTGATTACCCAGACTGACAAGGAAATAAGCCTCCATAGCTACAGTGCCCGGGTTGGCAGGCCTGGCCACCAGGTAGGTTTCAGTTCCCCTCCCTGACTTTCTGAGCACGTAAGTCCCTTGCACACCCCACCTCGATCCACAGACTGACTCCAGCTCTGGACTAGTCACTCTCTCTGCCCCATCCAGCCTCACAGTCCAGTCTGGAGCCATGCAGGGCCCTCCCCCTTCCCCATCTCTGACTGGCACCAGTCAGAGAGGCTGAAGCATTTCACATGTGGGGAAGGAGCTGCTCCCACAAACATTCTAGCAGGTGGAGACTAAGGGAGGGAGGATAGGAGCAAGCTTCAAATGAAGTATGTGTCAACCCCACTGAGCCCTCCAGCTTCCATGTTGTTCTGCAGCACGCCCCTCCTGTCCCCATGCCTCCCTGTGCCCTGGCATCAGTCTTTCCCTCCTTTACTCTACAGCACAATGGCCCTCTGCTAAAGCACAGTGAGACAAGAGACACCGAACCCACCAGCGCCTCAGTTATCCCTTGCTAGCCCCTTGCTGTAGCCCAGGCTATCCTAGAACTCAGGGCCTTAAGCTAGGGAAGGCTGAGGTGACAGGTATGTGCCACCAGGCCCGGCTGCCTCAGTCTAACTCTTCATCCCCTGCCTTCCTCCTCCTCTCACCCCCCAATTCTTCCCCCATCTGTCCATTATCTCCATGCTCCTCTGCTCCCTCAAGCCGCCAGGTACCCAGAGCACCAGGCCGTGTTCTGGACACCAGAGGTCCTACCCTCCCTCCAGGGTCACAAACCTCTGGGACGCTATGTCCTCACAGGAGGGAGCTCAGGGTAGGTGACAGGGGAGGAGTGACAAGTCAAAGTGAGGGCTCTTGAGAGCGGCAGAGTCTACAAGGGTGGTACAGCGGCAAAGCTACGGCTGTATAAAGGCCCTGAAAGCGCACGGGTACTGAGGGTGCACACAGGACCTGAGGGAGCGCAGACACTGAGGAGGAGCACGAGTCCTGAGGGGAGCACTACCTCACGGTTTCTGCAGTGCTGTGATGAAGCCAGAGTCTCATACATGCCAGGCAAGCTCTCTACCAACAGATAGTACCCTAGTCTTCCGATTCGTCTCCCCTACCTGCTGGGCCCATGTGGATGAGACGCGGGTGACAGAGGAAGATGCCTGTGCTACACTCATCCCTGTATTTCCCCATCACTTGCTCACTGCAGTTACAACAGCTTTCTTGGGGTCCCCTGAACACACTCCCACACTCCCACAGGCTATGCCAGCAGCGCTGTCCCTCCACATCCAGAAGACCCCTCCTCCAAGCCCTGGTGCAACTGTTCTGGTGGGCACTCCAGGACCCACTGTGCACTGCCTCATCTTCCTCCCCCTGGCACCCTGGTCCTCGCAAGCCATGGACAGCTGACTTGTTTCTCATCCTATCTTTGCTGTCTTTCTGAAGAGACAGCAGGAATAGAGTAGACACAGGGTAGACCTGTTATCCCAGCACTCAGGAGGCTCGGGGAGTGTGAGGTCAGTTAGGTACAGATTTTGTCTCAAAATACAAAAAAGGAAAGAAAAAAGGAAGGGAAGGGAAGAAGAGAGGAGGGGAGAGGAGAGGAGGGGAGGGGAGGGAAGCGAAGGAAGCTCCCCGCACGTGGGTCAGCCTCCCTGGACCTCAGTATGTGCCACAAATAACCCCAGAGGGACAGCTCTGGTGCCTACAGAGCAGATCAGTCTGGAACCCTATAGCCCTTGAGAGTAGTTGCAGGTGGGACACAGCCATATGTGACTCAGGTCTCCTGAGCACAGGGTTGGTAGGGTCAGCAAGACCAACCTGAAGCTCCTGGGGTGGGCATGAGGGGATGCGCTTCTTTTCCCAAGGGCCTCATGCTGGAACTTCAGCTCAACCCAACAGTGCTAAGCTGAGACCTGGGGGCAATAGGTAAAGCCCAGGCCCTGAGAACAGATTAGTGGCACCAGAAAGAGATAGGAGTTCAAGGCCAGCCTCAGCTACACAGTAATTTTTTTAGGCCAGCCTACGTTACTACATAAGACCATGTCTCAAAAAAAGTTTAATTTTTAAATTTTTAAATTAAAAAAAAACAAGTTTTTGGAGACAGGGTCTCTCTGTAGTCCCAGCTGGCCTGGAACTCACTATGTAGTGAGTTCCAAACTTAAAGAGATCCACCTGCCTCTGTCTCATGAATGCTGGGATTAAAGGCATGTGCCACTACACCTGGCAAAAAAAAAAAAAAAATTTATGGTTCTAGGGATTGAAGCTAGACCAGCAGCACTCTACGGCTAAGCCACACTTCCTGCCTTATTTTTAATTCTTTCACCATTCCTCAAGTTCTTTATAACCTCTACTCAAAACCTGCCCCACACACCTGCTCCCAGTCCCATCTCCTCTCCTAATTAGATACTGCTCAGGGGAGGCCTCGGAAGTCCTGGCATCAGATATATCTGTTCTGCCTGGTTGCGTGACCCTTGGTGAGTAACTGCCAATCCCTGAGCCTGCTTCTCCTCTGTAAAGTGGGGCAGACATCCCCATCTAACAGACACTGTGGAAGCTGTCCAGTCTGCCAATCCCTGAGCCTGCTTCTCCTCTGTAAAGTGGGGCAGACATCCCCATCTAACAGACACTGTGGAAGCTGTCCAGTCTGCCAATCCCTGAGCCTGCTTCTCCTCTGTAAAGTGGGGCAGACATCCCCATCTGACAGACACTGTGGAAGCTGTCCAGTCTGCCAATCCCTGAGCCTGCTTCTCCTCTGTAAAGTGGGGCAGACATCCCCATCTGACAGACACTGTGGAAGCTGTCCAGTCTGCTTTCGGTAGTTTATTTTCACACAAGCTCTCACTAAGTTGTCCAGGCTGGTCTTGGGTCCTCACTGCAGATCAAGCAGGACTTGATCTTATAATCCTCCTGCCTCAGCCTCCCAAGTGGCTGGGAGGACAGGTTTGCACACAATGCTTGGCTTTTGAGACACGATGTTGCTAAGTAGCCCAGGATGGCACCTGAAACCCCGTCTCCACCTCTGAGTGGGGCAGGGCAGGGGGGCCTGCTCTGGCAGCTCTGGCCAGTCTTTCCCACCAAGTTTTTTGTCGTGGGTGTTTATGTCTCAGCAATTCCCAGACACTGAGATGCCCAGGAGACACTTTGAAGGACAGGGCTCAGGGCCTTTTGGTCAATAGCCAGCAGTCGGCTTCCTGGAGGGCTGTGGCCCAGAGAGCTGGGGGTGCCCTGTCACCTCATGAGGGACATGTCCTGGCATCCTTCTGAGATCTTTCTCAGGCCTTGTGATAAACCAACAAAGGATTTTCCCTGGGTTCTGGGAGTCTTGGCACTATAGGCAACAGAGGTCCCGGAAAACTGCAGGGAAAAAGCAGGTAACCAGACGTTGGGAAACCCTGCTGCTAGGGTTGTAGTCCTCCATGTCCGGATAGCTCTAAGGGGCTCGGCGCCAAATGGAAGGACTCCCCTTTTCAGCAGGGGGCCTCCTGCTCTCTTCCTGACTTACCTGGAAAGCGCCACCAAGCACAGATGCCTGACCTTATTTGGAACAAGACCTTTGGCATAGTTACCTGGAGTAAAAACTACCCCCAGGTTTTTTCTATATGATAATCAGGCATTGCCTGGTAGTCGGAGGATAGGAGCCCACTGCCACATGTAAATAAAGCATACTATGAGCACCTATCAGCTGAGGCTTTGGCTACTGCCTCCACACTATAATTTCTCTAGTTCTCCCACTGAATAAATGGGGCTGTTTCACTGAGTCTGGAACTGTCTGCATCATTGAACCTGCCTCCCCGGAAGGACTTTCTTCCCTCAGTGCTCACTGGCCATCCTGACCCCGCTCGTCGCTTCTGCTCCCCTTGTCCTCGTGGACCGGTGGCCAACAACCCGCGAGGAGAGGGAGTGACCCCACAGCCAGACATGAGGGAGGGCCCATGCCTGTCATCCCAGCACTGGGGAGGCTGAGGGAGGAGGACCATGGGTTTGATAGCAGCCTGGGCTACACAGCAAGAGGAACTGGGACTCAAAAAAACAAAATAGATCACCAGGCGTGGTGGCACAGCCTGTAGTCCCAGCACTTGGGAGGCAGAGGCAGGCGGATCTCTGTGTGTTCAAGGCCAGTCTGGTCTACATAGTGAGTT